TAATCTAATTATTTTAATTGCAATATTTTTTTTAGATAACAAATCTAAATAATATAATTTTTATTTCATATTTCGTCATAAAAAAATATTGGAAAAGTTTAGTGTATTAATTTTAAATTTATCTTTGAGCATTTTATATTTATAGACTAGTTTATAATTGACAAAGCTTTAATTTTTTTTATAATATTTCTACTAAAAAATTAATTATAAAATAATTATTTCATACAAATAAGATTTTAAAGTAAATAAAAATACAAATCATAATTTTATTTTAATAATTTTAATTGATTATTTTTAATTATTTTATAAAATATCCAGTATTTCTAAAAAATATAAATTTTGGTTTTATTTTTAATTAAATATCCATTGTATTTTTTATATAAAGAATAAATAAATAAAAAAGCAAATAATTTAATATAAAAGAAATACTATTATATCAAATTTAAATATTAACCATTTTATTATTTTCTATTTAGTATAAAAATTTTATTTATTATTTTAATAAGATTAATTATATCTTTGTTAAAAAACTTTACTTTTTTTTAGACATGTAAAGTTGAAATAAATAACATATATTTTTAATGATATTCATTAAAAATATAAACTAAAAAATCAATAAAATATTAATAATTTATCGAATAATTATGATATAATTCTTTATTTTAAATAGATTTTTTTTTATAAATCTTAAATAATATATTACATTTATAATATTTTAACAAATTAGAACAAAAAATGACTAAAATGTGTTATAAAAATTATTATTTTACAATATAAATAAAAATATAAATAAAATATATTATCCATTTAATGTTATTTAATCTTTAATTATTTATATATTATTTAATTTAATATAATTTTATTTTGTTTAATTGTATTTCATTTATAATTATTATTAAAATAAATTTTTTCTTTATATTTATATATTTATTAATATAAATATTTTTATTATGTTTTACAATTATTTGTGAAAAAATAATAAATAAATATTATTATTTAAAATATATATGTTATTATTAATATTATATTTTTTATTTTAAATATTTTATATTAATTCAAATTTTTTTTTAATTAATAATATGTCAAGGTTTATTCCTCCAAGAAGTATAAATAGTTCAGTCCATCAAAGTTTTATAAACCTTGATTAGCAAAACGAAAAATGCTAAGAATAATTACCTTAATTTTAAAATGAAATTCCTCCTTAATAAGAGTATTAAACAGATTCTAAATTTAATAGAAATCTGCTATAGTAATCAAAACAAGTGCAATATTAATAAAATTAAATGCCAAATCAAAAATAACAAACCTCATTTTAATATTAAAATCAATCTAATCTAAATTAATAACAAAACATATAAGGTAATTAATAATAAAATAATAATTAAAGTCAGCAAATTCAATTTTAATTATAAGAAAAAATGAATCCGCAATAATAAGGATTTGGTTTTCATTAGCCATAGACAGAGAATTAATATTATTTATACGATCATAAAAACTAAGTATATTATCCATATATTCCTGACTATAAACCAATGTCGCTAAATTTAACTGAAGAGTAATAAAAATTAGACTATCAATAATAAGCTTTTGAAAAATCTATGTAAAATAATGCATAAGTAAGTTAATTGCGTGGTGCTTAAATTTTGATTAATACACAACCTCCAAATTATTTGATTCCAATAAAAGGAAAAACATAAATTGAATATATTCCTTATTAAAAAAAGTTATTGATTATTAAAAGTCAATAGATAATAATTATTAACCTGTAGAAAAAATGAGTAAAATTTTATTATTGTTTAATTTTTTTAATAAAGATTATTTAAAATATATATAAAGTAACTGAATATTATGCTGTAGAACATACAACAAATTATATTCCTTAAAAATATTACGATACACATATAGATTATGTACCAGTTTAAAGATTACGAAAAAGATAAGAGTATTTAAATTAAATGATATATAAAAATATATAAATATATAAATATATAAATATATATATTTATATATAAATATATATATATATATATATAGATTTTATCCAATAACATCAACAAGACCAATTATTCCTATGCATTAAGATATTAAATAAGGGGAAATAACTAATACTATTTATTACCCTTAATAAAGATAATAATGATTATATATTAATTTATATATATATATATATTATATTTATAATATATTAATAATATATTAGCATAAGTAAATATGTTATTATAATTATGTAAAAATATATATTTTGTTAGTTTAATTTAAACAAAATTAGTTAATATAATAATATATTTAATTTTTCATTAATTAATTATTTTTTAAATCTTAACTTTTTATTATTTATTAAATTTACTAATAATCTACTCCCAATTTTTTTAAACCTCTTCAATCTTAATTAACTGTTTTACCGCCTCACTAATAAGAAAATTAACTTCATTATTAGAAAATTTACTTTAATAAACAGTCACTAAAATTTAAAAAACCTTCAATATAATCTTTCCATCTTAAAAAAAAACCAAACTATCTTAACAAACTAAAATTTCAGCCAAAAACTTATGCTAAATAATCCCTTCTTTCTAATCGTATTTAATCGGCAATAAATTAACCCAAAACCTTACTATTTCTTATAAATTTTAAACCCACTATCTTTAAAATATAATAATTTTCCCAAAACTAATTGCTAAACTGTCTCTCATATATCCAAATTAAGTTAAAGGTTCAACTTCTTCTCCTCCATATCGAATATTCATACAATCAATTAAAGCCTTCAGGAACTATTAACAAAATTCTCTGAATTAATTATTATTATTATTACACACCTAAGCGAAAATCCCTACCCCTTAAACAGCCAAAGACCTTACTTATGTATTTTTATTAGTCGAAAAATAAACTAAAGCATTAATAAAAAAATTTAATTAATCTTTTTAAAAAAAATCAATTCCTAAAAATTAAATCATCCCATCCAAAATCTTAAGCCCGAATTTTTACATATTAAAATTTACATTATTATCCAATAGTTTCGGCAGAATTTCATTATTAAGATTTTCGGCAAATTAAAAGCATAGATTTTTATGTGTTTTGAATAAAACCAATATAAGTTCTGCTAACTAACTTTAAATTTAATCTTCTAACTTAATTTTTTCGTCTAAAAGAGCTTTCTCGTCCAAATCATTATTTATTTCTTCCTCTTCTTTTTGTTTTTCAATCAAAATTTTTCTCGAATCCGAAAATTTTAAAAAACTTAAAATTTTGACATAAAAACCCTATAAATCATCCTAATCAAAAAAATACATTAAATCGCCCAAATCCAAACACTTCTTAATTAATTAAATTTAAACTAATAAAACATCTCTTTCTTCTTCTTTTTCACAAACATCCCACAAAAAATTACAAAAAAACTTCAATATTTTTTACTATTTTTCAATACCATTATCTTTCACACAATTCACTAACCCAGGTAGACATTTACAAGCTAAAATCCTTATTTATTTACATTATTTAAATACACACAAAGGACTTACTAAATTAACACTTTCTTCCAAAGACTAAGCAAAATAAGACCCAAACTTCTAAATAAATACCTCTAGCAACCCAAGTGCAATTTCACATTCTTCAAAATCTGTTTTTTATAAATCGCAATAATTTTTTTCCTATTATTATACATACTAGATATTAATTACGTCTTAAATAATTCTAAAAACTCCAGGTACTATATCCGGTAAATAGCTTTAAATTTCCGAACTATATTTTAAGCAAATTCTTTACCAACCAGAAAGTACGTAACTTTTTTAAGGATCAAACTCATTTTTAAAAAGTACGCTATTCTACACATTTATAATAATCAAAACTAATTTATCTAAATAATTTATAAACTTCTCTTTACTTACGAAAAAAGAAATTAAGCTTAAACACTCAATTATTTATCCTCTAAACTACCTATATTCTTTCCCCTGAAACTTCTAGAAGAAATCCACTAAAATAGGCATATATACATTTAAAAAATCATCGAATTTTTCTTTTGCACTCTCCACTAAAGCTGAAATCGTAGTTAGGCAATTTTCTTTCAAAATCGAACACCCTTTATCAATTAAACCAACTAATTTTTAAAATAAATCGTCCAAAAAAGGCTCTATTTCTTCTTCATTGAATCCTTCTATGTAATTAGTCAAAGCCGCCGCCGCATGAGAAGCCACTCTGGGCACTTCATCATCTAAAAACCTACTTAAAATCCTCAACATTTCCTCCTTATATTCTTCCTAAAACTCCGGTCTCATATCCTCTGCAATCTACCCAATAGCATGCAATACAGCATACCTAATCATGGGATTTTCAGACTTCAAAAATTCCAAAACAGTCTAAATAATAGGCTTTATTTTCCCAATATTTTCCACATATTCTCCAATTTAGGACAATCCCATAATTGCTGCAAACTTATACCTCCAGTCTTGGGAAAAAGAGAGCATTTTTTCGACTAGAGAGATAAGAATTTACAGACAAATATCTTTTCCTCCAAATTCTATTATTTTATCTATTTAATTAATTCCGAATCTTATTATTTCGAAATCTGAGTCATTTTCTAAGTCTTCAGAAAAGCCTTCTTTTGGAACTTTCCATTCATCTGATATTATCTGGTTTATATTTACCATCTAAATGAATATTAATTCCAATATTTTTTCTATATAATTTTTTTTTTTTGTAAATTTCTAAGGAGCTTTTTCTAAATAAGAAATTAATATTTCACTACTAATTTATTTAGTGTCTGTTTATATTTAAGTGTTTTCTTCAGTATTTATTTGCCATATTGTAGATATTAATATTTCTGTATGTTCTTTAAAGTATTTTGTCTTTTTTTCTATTATTTCTAATATTGCTTCTAGTATTTTTTTTGCTTGTTCTTCGTCTGTTTTCATTCCAGAATATAATATTTATAATATTTAAGGTATAAAATCTTCATATTATTTTAATTTTTAATTTTCTAATTTTTATATGTATTAGCATATTGTTTAAATACACAAAACTTATATTCTAAGGTTTTAATTTTTAAGACTATTTAAAAATAACAAATTTAATTAGATTTAATATTGATCAAGTATTTAGTGATAATGTTTTAATAAGTTTATTAATATTTTAAATCCGCATTCTATTAAAGAAATATTTTATTCCATAAATAATTAAAACGTCTAAGGAATCAATTCTTGCCATTAATTATTTTGTTATAAAAAACCTCCCAATTCTCCTATACAATCACATAAAAGAAACCTAATAATTTATTATTATTCAATTATTAATAATTCAAATAATTTGTTTTTTAAAAAAAATTATATATCTGGTTATAATTTATCCCAAATATTTATAAAAGAACTTTCTGAATATTTAGATATTATTTTCCTAAGGTAAGAAGAACAAAATATTTTTTGATTTTTTTATTATGAAACTTTATATTATAAATAATTTTGTAAATATTCTCATTTAATTTCAAAAGAAATAATTAATATATTTATAAAAAAAATAATTTTATATTTAAAATATTTCTTTACCTTATATTATTTATAATAATGATTAAACTAAATAGTTAGGATTTTATAAACTTATTTCAATTAATTATACTTCAGCTTATTTCTGTGTTTATGGAACTAATACTTATTCAGTTAAATTAATAACTTATTCTAAAAATAATTACGACATTTAATTAAAAAAAAAAAAATCTTTAAATATTAAATTATCAAAATAATAGAAATTAATATAAATAAAAATATTTAATATATAAGAAATGAAAATTAATAATATTTGAGTAAAAATATATTAAATAATGTAAAAAAAATTATATAAATAATTATATATTAATAGTAATATTTATAAATATATATATATATATATATATATATATATATATATATATATAAATAATTTAAAATTATTTTTTATATCTTTTATTAAAAAATATTTATTTTATTTATATTGATACTTTAATAATAAATATATTATAAAATTTATATTTATATTAAACATATATAAATATTTTAATTAATTAATATTTTTTATTAATTTAATTCTTAAAATCTGAATTATTTAACTTAAAAATTTCTGTATTTTATTGTAAATATAATAATATTTTTTTTTTTTTTAAATTTATTTACAATTAATTTTAAATTATAACATTAGAAAAAAAATATCAAATAAATATTAATATTAAAAATTAGTTTTTTTATTTTATAAAAAACAAATGTTTTAAAACTATGATTAATATAAATAGGAATATGTTTACGATGATGAAAATGAAGATGAAGATAACAAGATTTTTTATGATGAAAATAATAATTCTTATGAATAAGGATGTTAAAATAATTTTCGTCACCACTAATTTTTGTAATAAAATCTTCCTTTATTATAATTAAAATAAATACTTAATTAAAGTTAAACAATGAATAATACAAATAAAAATAATGAAAATAAATATAAATCCAAAAGTAGCCCTAAATTGGACGATATTCTAAATTGTTTTATATGCTATAATAAGCTCTAAGATACTCATATGTGCCCTAATTGCTAAAAGTTATGCTGCGAATAATGTATTAAATAATGGTTAAATGAAAAAAGTGAATGTCCACATTGTAGAGCCTATTTAAGACCTAGTAAACTCATAAAATGTAGATTTATGACAGAAATTACTAATGTAAATATTATAAATATAGAATAAAAAAGATAACAATAAAAATATTAATAAAATAATTAATTACAATTAAAAAAAATTTAAATTTTATAATAATTAAATAAAATATATATTTATATATAATATAAAAATAATATTTTATTTTCAAATTTCTTCTTTTTTTAATTTTTTTTTTTAAATATAAAATATTATTAAATTTTATATTATTTAAAAAAACTATTTTATTTTCAAAAGGCAATATAAAAAATAGAATAAGTAAATACTTAAAAAACAAAATAGGAACAATAATGTTAAATACATGGTAATTAAATGCTTTACTATTGTAATGATTGTAAAGAGCCTATATGCTCAGATTGCGCAATGTTTGATTAAAAGCATAAAAGTCATTAGTTTCAGAAACTGAGCCAAATAATAGATATTCATTAAAAATCAGTTAAAGAAAAGCAAAATAAAATATAAGAAAGACTCAAAGAATTAAATTTATGTAAATTAAATAATGATAAATTAATTAATTTAGTCAGTAAAGCAAAAGAATAAACTATAAAAGAATATAATTATTTCTTTGAATAATTCAATTAACGTCTATAAAATTAATTAGATATATAAATAGCATTAAAAATGTAAATGAATTCTATTGTAAATGAAATTACATTTTTAAAAGAAATGGAAAAATAACTTAATGAAGATATGGATGTAAACCCTAAAAGCGCATTATTATATAAATCTTCAGAAATAATAAACGCTATTAAAGAATTAAATGAAAAGCCATATATTTAAAACAATTAGGATTAATTCGAATAAAATTAGTAAATAAAAAAAAGATTTTTTTAAAAAACAAAAAATATATAAAAAATAAATAAGAAATGAAATATTACCAAATTTTGATTCAGCAGTTTTTATATTAAATAATTATAAAGAAAAAAGAATAAGTAACGAAACAGTTTATTCCGATTCTCTATATGTTAATGGGATAGAGTGGAGATTAAAAATATATCCTAATGGAAACGGAGTTTCTAAAAGCGAATATATTTCTGTATTTTTAGAAATGACTAATGGACATTCTAAACCTTATAAATATGAATATAAAATAGAAATGATAAATTAAATTAACTAAAGTTAAACTATTACAAGGTTTTTTTTTTACTATAAAATTATAATAATATTTAATATTAATAAAAGATAATATATAAGTGAATTCGAAACTGGTGAATGTTGGGGATATAATAGATTTTATAAATTAGATTTATTAGAATAAGAAGGTTATTATTTAGAAAGTGAAGATAAAGTATTTTTTTTTTTTAAGATAAATTTTTATATAAAATTTATAAAAAGCTTGTTTTTAAATATTTTGTTAGATCACCTTCTTATATAGAGTTTAATAGAGATTTAAAATAATATATAAAAAAGAAAGAAGAAGAAACTTAAAATCTAAAACTTTAAGTTATTGATTTATAAATATAATTAAATTCATAATAAGAGCATAGTAAAGAATTTTTTTTTTAAAAAAAAATAATTTATTAATTATATATAGATAGCGATATTAGTAAAAATATGAATTTAGATAATTCTCAAATATAAAATTAAATATAATCAAATTATGATTTAAAGCCGATTTCTTAATCAAAAGTAGAATTTGAAAATGAAAATGAAGGCAATGAATAAGAAGTGGATGAAGGTGAAGGTGAAGGTGAAGAGGATGATGAAGAACATAAATAAATAAATAAAATATAAAATAAATTTTCCAAACATACTTTAGAAAGCGATGATGAGGAAGATTATGAAGATTTAAATAGAGATGTTAATAATGCTTAAGAAAATATATATGAAGAAGGAGAAGATGATATTGATAATATTAGCGGAAAAATTATAGTTAGTAATAAAAATAATTCAACAAGTTTTTTAAATGATGTTTGCTTAGATTTATTACCATAATTTAATAAGGAAGCTGAAAAAAATATTCAAAATGAAGGCGAATATCATAATTTAAATATATAACCATTTAATTAATAAAGATTTATGGAATAATTAAAATTAAAAAACTATAAATAATTAATAAAAAAATGAAAAAATTTAGAAAAAAAAAAAAAATTATATACTTATTTAAATTTATGTGACTTATTAATTAATTATAAAAAAATAAAGAATAAATAAAATAAAAAAAAATATATTAAAAACTATAAATAAAGATAAATAACAAAAAATTATTATAATAATAAAAATAATTAAAATATATATATATAGAGAATTTTGAAAAAAAAATATTTATTAATTATAAAACATAAATTTATTGTTAAAAAAAAAAATTAAAAATATATTAAATAAAAAAATTTAGATAAACATATATAAATATATAAATATATAAATATATAAATATATAAATATATATATATATATATTTATTTATATTTTTTGATAATTTTTCTAATTATATATATTTATTTTTATAATTTTTTATTAAAATTTTATTATGATTTTTTTTTATAAGAAATTTCTTATTAATTATAATTAATTTTTTATTTATTATTTTTTACAATATTATTTTTAATTTTTTTTATAAATAATTTTTTATATATTTTTATTAAATTTTTTTCATTAAATAATGATTTTTTTAATTAAATTATGATATTTGAAATAAATTTTTTTTTTCTTTTTTCATTTTTTTTTTATAAAGAAAAATATAATATAATATTATTTATAATATACATTGAAATAAAAAAAAATATTTTAAATAAAATAGAAATAAAATAATTTCGATAAAAAGAAAATTAAAAAAAAAGCAACTACCATGTGCATCTAAAATTACAATTATAAATAAAGAAAAATAAAATATTAATATATATATATATTTAAAAAAATACAATTAAAATAAATAAAAAAATAAAAATTAAAATAAATTAATAAATAAAAAATGTCCGAATTCCAAGAAAATAAATATGGTTCTCATAACTCATCTGAACAAATTGCTTAAAATAACTTAAACTCCTATAAGCCGCCTTCCTCAACATAAGTTCCTGCTCAAAATGCTCATCCCGCAAACACTACTCATCCTTTAGTCTAATCTCACGTTGTATCCTAACCCGTCTCCTATTTACCTTACTAATAATAACCTTTAGTTTAAAACCTTCCTTAATAAGTAAATTACTTACAATAAGCTCCCGTATAATACGTATCCTAACCTGCTTTGTAATCTTCCACTGTCTAATATGTCTAATAACCTAATGTCCAATACGTAAGCTAACCCATGGTTTAATAATAATAAGTCGTATAATAACCATAATCCGCATCATTAGTATTCTAAGGTAGTGTATTGACCTAATAATAACGCGAAGCAATAAAAGGAGAATCAAGAATCGAATACGTACCTTACGAAAAATCCATGATAGAATACGAGGCAATTTAAAGAACAGAATATATTCCTAAAGAAAAAAGAATAACTGACTATTATGCAGTTGAATACCAAACTGAATATATCCCCTAAGTTTATCAAGATAGATATATTGAATATATTCCATAAGAAAGAGTCCAAGAAAGAGTAGAATATCAAGCAATTGAAAAATAAATTGTACACTAACCTGTATAAGAAGTTTAATAATCCTAAGTTGTAGTTTAATAAGTTCCTGTTGTCTAATAGCAATATGTCACTTAATAAGTTGTCTAATAACCTGTATAATAAGTTTCATATGTCTAATAACCTGTTTAATCAGTTTAATATGTCTAATAACCCATTACTACTACTTAAGTTGTCTAATAACCTGCTGTTCTTTAATAATCTTAAGTTGTTCATTAACCTGCTGTTATGACTAATTCATATGCTTATAATTAACCTGCTGTTTAATATTTGTCAACTTAAGGAGCTTTACCTATTGCTAGTGGTTCCATATATAGAGGTCAAGCAGGACTCTTACCTGGTCAAAGTGGAGTTTTAACAGGATAAAATAGAGTATTTTAATCACCTGATAAAAAGAAAGAAAAAGGCTTCTTAGAAAGAATTTTTGAATGAAGAGAATAATTGATTTTTAATTATTATTAAATTAATATAATAATTATAATCTTTATTATTATTGAGATCTATAATTATATTAAATATATATTTATGTTATTTTTATTTTCTTTTTCATTTTTTTTTCTTATATAAAAAATTAAAGAATATTTTTTATATTAATAATTTTATTTTATATAATAATTATAATAAAATATTATTTTTTAAATAAAGATAATTTAATGTAAAAAAATAAATAAATATTAATTAACTAATATATGTTATAAATATTTATATACAATAAAAAAATTACAGATAAAATAAATTTTTAAAAAAATAAAAAAATTATAATTATTATATTAATAAAAATAATTATATTAATAATAATATTATATATTAAAAATAATTATTTATTTTATAATAAAATAACTTAATTATATAATTTTATTAATAATATTTATAAAAATAAAATCTATATTAATAAAAATTTAATTTAATAAACATCATTTTTTATATTTTTTTAATATATTTTACGAATCCATCAATGCTTATTCATCAATATAATCAATATATTCTTATGTTTTTTCTTTAATTTTATTAAGTTTTATCGAAAATTAAACTAAATTTTAAGAATCAATAGATTCTTTTGGTAGGTCAATAGAAAAAGCAAATAAAACATACTCTTTATATAGTAATTCCAAGTTTTTTTTAAGCATAATTAAAGCTCGTTTTTCTCTTCTGGTATTATTTTAAGTATGATTATCTTCCAAAGTACTATTAGATATTTATTTTTAATCTTTGATAAAAGGATTACTTATTTCTAATTATTATTATTACACTTATTAATTATTACTTGACTATGTTTTTAAAAGTTACATTTTACAGGTTAAATTTTTTATTTCATCTATTGCATATTCTCTTTTCACTTAAAGTTATTTTATTTATAATTCATTTTCTTTAATATGAATATTTTTTTATTCTATTTATTCTTAAAGTTCTTAAATTTATTTATCTTTTAATTCTATTCTACTCATTAAAAGTTTTATTTCCTATGCTTAATTTAATATTTTGAGTTCTTTTTCGTAGACCTTTTGTTCCTCTGCTAATCCTTGACTAGTTTGTAAATTAATTTTTTACATTTCTTCTTATATTTATGAAATTTAAATATTTTTTTATTCAATTTCTTCATTTTTATCATTCGTAAGTTTGATTATTTACTAATTTAAATTTTATATTCTTTCCTTTTATTATTTTATTAAATTTTTATCTTTAATTCTTTTTTATTCAATTTTTTTTAATTCGATTTTATCTTTTTAAGACTCTTCCATAGTTTCATGAAAATCTTTTGTCTACTAACTATATTATTAATTAAGCTTTTGTAAATCGCTTTTTCTTTCCTCATGTTTTATTTTTTCTTAAATAAGTTTATTTTCCAATTCTTTTTTTTTAAGAAAAATTACTCTCTTAACTATTATATATTATCGTTTAATTTTTATATTTCATCTTCCATTTCTTATATTTTATTATTATTTTCTTCATTTTAATTTTATATTTATTCTAATTGTTAACTTTAGTCTTTATTTATATTTAACAAATTTGCATTTTATAAAGATTATTCTTGATTTTCTTTGTTTAATTTAGCTATTTTTTCCTCATAATAATTTATTTTTTATATATTCATTTTTTTCTCTTCTTCAAGACTATGATATATTTTTTCAATTTCTTTTTTTTATTCATCTTTTATTTTTTATATTTGGTTTTAGTATTCTAATTTTTCTTTTTCTTCGATTTTTTATATAGGTATTATACTTTGTTCTATTTGTTCTTTTTACTTTTATAGATTTTCTAAATTTTCGGTTATTTTTTAATTTTTTTCATTTAATTATTATATATTTTCTATTTATTATTGTTTTTCTTACTATAAAATTTAAACTTATTATTATAATTATTATTATTTATCATTTAAATTGATAATCTATTAATCATTTTAATATATTTATTGTTAATATTCCTTTATTTATTATTCTTATTGCTTTATATTTTTTTCATTTTTCTAAAATATTTTTATTGATTTAAATTATTTAATCTTTATTTTCTTTATTAATATTTTCTAAAGTATTAATTTTATAATTTATTAATTTTAATTTTGGTTTAAATTTTCATTTATTTTTTATAAACTTAATATTTTTTGATTAAATTCATTTTTATTTTTTAATTTTCTTATAATAAATTTTCAATTTTTTCTTGATTTTGTTAATTTTCTTATTCTAAATTTTAAATTTAAATAATATTTTATTAAATTTATTAATTTAATTAATCTTAAATTTATTTAAGTTAATTAATTTATTATTCAAAATCATTTTATTATATTTAAATTTATTTCTATAAATTATTCTCTAAATTACTTTTATCATTAATAAGTTATTAATTCTTTATCTAAAATTAAGAAACTTATAAATTTAAACCCAAAATATCATTATTAAGATATTCGATAGTATTATTTAATTCTTAATTTTTATTATTTAATTAATTAATTTACTAATTTAACTATATAATTTAATCATTTAATTATTTATTTTATAATTAAAAATTAGAATTTTATTATTATAAAATATCCATTTACATTTAATCATTATTTAAAATATTTTATTATTTATTATTTTCTTCATTTAATTTATTATTCATTTATTCCATTAAAGCTTAATTCTACAATAGTCCATCTTAAATTTATTATTTTAAATTTTTCTAGTCTAATTATAATTCTTCATTTTATGATTTTAAATTTTAAATTAGAATTAAATTTTATTTATTTAATTATTATTCTTATTATATATTCAATTAATATTAATCTATATTATTTTTTTACTCATCTATTATATTTTATTAATTATCATTTTCAATTTAAATACTTTTATTTTTCGCTATTTCTTTTTCCAATTTTATTTAAATTTCTTATATTTAAATTTATTTTTATTTATAATTTTTTTATTAATTTTCAATTTCTTATTAATATTTTTTTTCATTTTATTTAATTTTATTTTCTAATTCTTAAAATTTATTTTAATCTTGTTCTAATCTTTATTATTAATCAAAAATCTATTATTAAAATATTTGGATTTCTTAAATTTTATCTGAAATTTATTAATTTAAGCAATTTATCATTTAATTATTTTCCTAAATTTAACCTTTTAGACTTTATTTTTCCTCATTCGAAATTTAATTTTCTTCTTTTAGACTTTAATTTTCCTCTTTTAAATTCTAAACTTACAAATTGTTATCTAAAATATATTTTTGATATTATTATTAAACTAATTATAATTTTTCATTTGTTTTTTCCAATAACTCCTTATAATTTTCTTATTAATTTTAAATTTAATTATCATTAATTTATTTTTTTAACACTTCTGTTTATTAATAAAAGTCATCTTTTATTTCTATAAATCTCGAATTTATTATTCCATAACAATTATATTTTAATTGAATTCCTTAATTTTAATTTCTAGACTTTAAATATTTTTATTCTATTTAACTTTATCTTCTTCATAATCATTAATAAGTGTCGAAAATATTTTAATTTATATTTAAAGTTATTTTTTTTCATCTAATAAATTATTAATTTCTTATTCAAATTTCTTATTATCATCCCATTATCTCTATAAATCTTAATAGTTCTTATTTATTTCTTAATATTATTTTTAATATTCTTAAATTTTCTTATTTAATTCTTGTTTTTAATTCTCTAATTACTTACCATGTTCTTATTAAATTTTTTCTAAAGTTTTTTAATGTTCGCTTTTTATTTTTCGTTTTATTTTTCATTCTTCTTTTGACAATCCTGTAAATTTTTCTAACTATCATTCGACATTTTATCATATTTTTTTTAAAATTCGATTTAATTTTATTAATTTTGGACTAATTCTTAATATTTTTACTCACTTTGTTATAATTTAATCTATTATTATTATTTATAAGCATCAAATTCTTCAATAAATTAATTTTTTTCATTTATAACTTTCAAATAATTAAGCTAATATTCTTCATCAACGAATTTCTTATTTAAATTTTCTTAAAGCTTATTTTTTACTTCTTATAAATTATAATTAAATTAATTAAATTATTATAAAATTTCATTTAAAAAATCTTCTTTTATATTTTCTTCTTATCTTTTTATTAATTCAATTGTTTTCCCATACTCATTTCTTAAATTTTCGATTTCTTATTGACTTATTAATTCATTAAAATTATAATTAAATAGATTATTATTATTATTATTTGTTTATAAAGTAGTCTACTTAATTATTGCTCATTCTCTTAATCTTTCTTTTAAATCATTTAATTAAATGTAAGACATATCTAATTCATTTTATAGTTTGTGCGAATTTTCTTATTCTTATTTTAATTAATTTTATATATTTTCTAAATTAAATTATAATTCTTCATTTTAATCTGATAATGTATTTCTTTCTTTTAAACTATTTTCAAGTTTTTCTTTAAAAACTATTTTATCTTATTCTAATTTTTTCACTTCCTTTTTTAAATTTGTTCCATGATTTTCATATTTCTTTATCGATTCATACAATTCATTTGCATTTAATTACCAAGCATCTTTTAGTTCAATTTTAATTTAATCTTATATTATTTCCTCCCATATAGATTTATATTCTTTTACTGTCGTGGCTTTTTTATCCTTGGAATCACCAAATATTTTCTTGAACATTTTTTTTATTTTTTAATTGATAAATACAACTTATTTAATTTAATTGTTTTGTATAAATATTTTTTATATAATAATCATTTAATTTTATTTATTAAAATTTAATTTTTATTTTAAAATAAAAATCAAACAAACTAATTAAAATATGTTATTCCTATTTTATTAAATAGATAAATATGTATTTGATATAAAATTTTTATTTAATATTTTAAAAATAAATAATATTTTTACTTTGAAATTTATCCATAAAATAAAAAATCACATTATATTTTTTTTATATAATATAGTTTAAATCAAAAAAAATAATATATATATATATAAAAAATTATTTAATTTTTGAATAAATAAAAAAATAAATAAATAAATATCATTAAATAAGCATTTGTAAATAGTTAATTTATTTATATATACAATAATTATTATCTTAAAATATTTTATTTTTATATAATAAGGAATTGTTTATTTAAAAGTATATTATGATAATAAAATAAAATATTTATTTTTATAAATAAAATATTAATATAAATAATTTTTATATATTATTAATATTTTTTTTGCTTTAAATACAAATAATTAAAGTATAAATTTAATAACTAATGTATATTTTTTTTAAAAAAAATACATATTCATATTTTTATAATAAATTCTAAATATTTTTATTGAATTTTATAAATAATAAATTTTTATTATATTATTTATATATAAATATTTAAAATTGGTCTAAAATTCTTATATTTTTATATTTTAAACATGATAAATTAAAATGAAAATTATTACCCTTAATAAGTATATATTTATTTAATTTTACCTTTTTAAATCACTTTATGTTTAATAAAACATCAAAATATAATATTTATAAATAATATTAGAAAAAAACTTACTATTTTATGATGCAATAGTATTATAATAATATTTTAGTTCATTTGTTTTAATAGCATTAAAAAAAAAAATTAAAGAATAATATTTTTTGTTTACGTTTTAATCAAATTAAGCAATATCAATTATAAACAGTTACAAAATTATATTTTAATTATCATTATTAATAAATACAATTTTAATAATATAACCTTTTATTCTTATATCCGATAAAATTTTTATATTTACAGTATTAATAATTTAAAATAAGAATAAAAGCTTATTTTTTATTTATTAAGTTATATACTATTTATAATATTAATAATATGATTTATTTATATAATAGGAATATTTGTATAAATATTTTTTAAAAAATATAAAATTTTTCTTTATAATAAATTATAACATGAATAATATGATATAAACCTAATATATAAAGTTTAAAAAATAACTTTTTTTCAGTACAAATAAGTTAGTATATTTTCAAAGAATAAATTTAGAAATAATTATATATTATAAAAAAAAAAGATAATTTTATTTATTTTCAGAATACATTAAATTAATTAATAATAATATAAATAGATAGAAATATTAATATTTTATAGATTTTTATAATATTTAGAATCATTAAATCTATTATTTAATATTCAATTATTAATAATAATAACAAAAATATTTTTATATTAGATGTATTAAAATAATTTATATTTATACTATCTTATTAATACAAATATATTTAAAATAACTTAATAAATGAATATCATTACAAATGTGATTTTTATATTAAAATTAATAAAATAAATATGATTTTTAACATTTTCATTTAATTTTACATTAAAAATGAAAAAATATTTAAAAATAATCTTTTAAATATTAAAATATTCTCATATATATCTTATATTCAAAATATAAAAATTATTTTAGTTTTTTCTATATTTAAAATTTTTAATAATATAAATATAATATGATTATTTTATCTCTTATATATCAAATATAAAGAAAATAATTTTTTAAAACACTCCGAAAAAAGTAATAAATATTTTTTTTATTTAAAATTATTTTTAATTAATATATATTCATTTTTATTTTTTGATAAATCTTTGAAACTAATTATAAGTTAAAAATAAATCAAAATTTAAAATAATATAATTATTATTTTAAGTTTCTTTTTAACATATAAGTCTTTTTCCATCTGAAATAACTTTGATTAAATAAATATTTTATTTTTTAGTTTTAATATATATGATTCCTGATCTATTATGGGAATTTCTAGCAAAAAACAAGCTGCCTATCTAAATTTATTAATTTAAACATTATTTTCAAATAAAACATTTTTATCAAATAAAATAATATAAGATTTATTATTAAATTCAAATTTGTTAATAAACCCAGAATAATTTTCTCGAATATTTTAATTCAATTTCTTTTTTTAATCAAATCCTATATTTTAAAACGAATGTTTCTTTTATTTTATAAATTTCTCTTTTTCAATTACTAAATTAGTTAATTCTTTATATTTACTTAATAACTAATTATCTATATTATTTGATGTATCTTTATTTTATTCGAAATTTATATTTTTTTAATTATCAACTTCTTAATTTTGGTTCTCTTAATCATTTCCATACAATATTATTAATTACTAATATCCAATCATTTTTTTATTTAAATTGTTTTCGTTAAGAATTAAAATTTAAATCAACTCTTCACTAACAATATCAAATTGTCTAGATTTACTTAATCTAATACATATATCTATTTTTTCTTCAAATGAAAAGCATTCTCGAAGCATAATATTTTCAAAGTCTAAATAAATAATAATAAAAGAACTATCATCTGATTCTATAAGTTTATCTGCAACTCCAACAAGATATTAAGCTTATTTTAACCCTTAATAAATATTAAATAAATAATAATAAGCCCTACAGTTTTCAACAAAAGAGTTTAAATCATTAATCTTTTAAAAAGAAAGACATTTTAAAAAATAATTTTCCGAATTATCTATATCTCTCATTTCATAATAAAAAATACCAATTCCGCATAAAAAAGTTTGATTTTCTGGTTCTAATTTAATTGCTTCTTTGAAATAAAACTCTGCTTCGCTATATTTATATATTCTCATTAAACTATATCCCAATTAATAATGTGAATGGCAATATATTTTATTTTTACCAAATCCTTTTTTTTTATGTATTTTTAAAAAATTCTTAGATCCTTCAATACATTTTTCCCATTATTCGTCTATGAAAGCCCTCTCAGAATAATTAAAATTTACAACTGCAAAATTTTAGTTCTTTTTAAGTAGTATTTCGTAAGCTTTCAAATTTTAAACCAAGCCAATTGATAAGAATTAATTAAAATAATTAATATCATATTTTTGCATTTCCTCTAATTCCATTTTTTAATATTAGTCTAGCTTTTCTTTTAATTCCTCTTAATTTTTGGGTAATTGTATGAAATTATGCATCCACTAAGGCTCAATATCTTTTTTTTAAAGTTTGCTTAGCAAATTTTCTACTTTTCTTATAATAATTAAAATATTTTTTATTAACAATTTAATAGTAATTCATTCTTTTAATCAAACTTAATACCCTAAATAATTTTTTCCAAAAATGTTAATGCTTATAAATCTTATTTAAAAACAATTTCTGATAAAATATTATATTTATTAACAAAATCTTAAATAGGTATAAATGTAGAAATAATATTTTTAGGATTATCAATACGAATTAAAGGATAACCATCACTAGCAATTTTATAATAAGGGTCTAATATTTCTACTTACATACCTATTGCAAACTAACTAGATAAATCACTTGCAGAATGGTTATAAACAGCAACATTTTCAATATCATTATTTTCATCTATTATTATAAACATTATACTTAGCATTTTACAATAAGGTAATATTATAATTCCTTTTAAGCTTTTTTAATTATGAATATGATCTGTTTTCATTTATTTTAAAGTTATTTTTTCATAGTTTTAGTTTTTATGAGCTTTTTTTTATTCCAATTCTTTTTACCTTCTTTGTTATCTAGATTATTAAGGTTAAGCAAAATCTGTAAAACGGATTTCGTAATCTTAAATTTAATTACTATTAATTTAAGAGTAAGTATTTAGATATCGTATAATTAATGAAGATTCTTTATATTGTTAACTTTTAGTTTATTAAGTGAAAAATTACATTTATTTAATAGAATATTTTATAATTTTATTATTTTATTTAGATAAGATTATTATTTATATAAAACGAAATATAATTATAATTTTTATATATTTTATGTATATGAATTCTAAAATCTTTTATTTTTTTAATAAAAAAGATTATGATATATAAAAAAAAAATATTTAAAAATATATTTATATAATAAATAAATTAAAAAAAATATATAATATTAACTTCATATAATAAAAATCATTATTGAACATATCAAAATAAAAACAATATTGTTATACTTTCGAAATTTTATATTTTCTTTAAATTATTATTCTTTTATTAAATAAAATATTAATATTGAAAATATTTTAAAATAATATGTCTATTAAATATTTTTTTAATTGTAATAATATTTTTTTTTTTAAAAAAAAAAAAAAAATACAAAGTCTAAATTTTTAAAAAATATTAAAATAGCAAATAAATAAAGTTTTTTTATTACATTTTTAATTCATAAAAAAAATTATAATGAATATTAGTGAACATTTATTAAATAATTCTTTTTTTTATAAAGTTATAAATCCAAAAAAAAAATATAAAAAATATTTAAAGAATAATAATAAATTTTATATTTTTTATTTAAAGTTAAAAATATTTTAAAAAAAGTTAAAGGCGATTAGAATAAACAATAATATTTTAATATTCATTATTATTTAATTTTTAAAATAAAATAAAAATAATATCAATAACATTATAATTTTTAAATAAATATTTACTAAAAATTTATTTTATTTATATTTTTATATTGTAATTAAAATTTAATAAATTTAGCATTAAATAAATTAATTAATTAAATACATAATTATAGTATTAATACATTATTTTTTATATTTATATTTTTATTATTATAATTAAAATGAATGAAAACTAAATTATTGTAAAAGGCAAAAAGTTTTACAGTTTTTTCTAAAAGCTTTTTTGTTGCAAATGTTTATAAATGTGTTAAGTAGAAAAAAAATAAAAATATATAAAAGATATTTACTTTAAATTTGAAAAAATGTAAAGGAAATAGATGATTCTTTATTGACATCAGAACATAGAAAAAGCGCATCAAAACGTCTCATAATGAAATTTATGAAAAAGGATAAATTAAAAAAAGATGATTAAATTTTGTAAATTTTAATAAGGCTTTATACATCAGAAAATGAAGACAATGTTATTTAAATGCTTTATAATTGTAGGTATTTTAAATAATAAAAATACGACTATTTAAAACATATGTTATTATATTATAATAAAAAGAATAAATCCAAATTATAATTAAAACGAATATTAATAAAGAGATGATTTATTATTTTATTTACCATAATTATGCAATTACATGGTTTTCCATGAAGAATTATAAAACGAATAAATGATAGAATTTGTAAGGATTGCGGGAAAAATAGATTTTTTTTTTGCACATTAATTATATTTTTATATGAGATCAGTTGCGTAAATTATAAGCAAAAACGATATATAAACTTTTCCTCTGTAAATAAAATTTTAATTTAATAATAAATATTAAAAAATAAATAAAAAAATAACAATTAAAAAAAACAATAAAATGGTATTAATAATATTATTAAAGTTATATAAAAAAAACAAAAAAAACAACAACAACAACAAAAATATTGTTTTTTAAATTTAAAAATAAAAAATTAATATTTTTTTTATATTTTTTTTTTTAAAAAAAAAAAAAATAGAATAAAAAATACACTCAAATAATTAAGTGATTAGTTTTCTTTTGATTTTAATAATTAATTTTTAGTAGCTGCTCATTAACTAAACTATTTCTAAAATAGCAAAAAAGCTTACCCAGACACCCCCGAAGCACTTTTAATCTAAGAAACAATTTCAAAATACGGTACACAATATGAAGACCAAATTCCTTAAATAGATTATTAAAAGCTTAAATACTCAGAGATAAAACTCTAATATTATAAAAAGCAAATTCTACCCGAAAATACTACATAAGATTAAAATCAAGAAAAATATCCAACGAGTGCATTTTTTTCAAATATTTATTTTTTTGACGACCTAATAGCAATTCCAGAAAAACTAAAAAATACTGAATTAAAACTAAAAACATTAATTGAAAATATCTAAAAAATAAATGAAAGCCTTCCTGCAGCAGTATACATTCCATTTTTTACACATTAAATAAGGAATTATGTAGTCTTGAATATAGTAGGCTCCGAAAGTAAAGTTTATTCCACAAAAGAAAGATCTCCTTATTATATTTGTGTAGAAATTTATAGACCAGAACTTGAAGATTTAACTTTTAGAAATGTTGATAATTAACTTTCTTAAAAAAAAACTGTTTAATAATATTATCTAGACCATAAATAATAAGAAAAAATAAAATAATAATAATAACCAAACAATTCATTAGAAAAATAAAAAAAACTATATCCTGAATAAAAAACACTCCTTTAATATATCAATTAATAATAATAGTAATAATAAGAAGAAAATAATTTAATAAACGGAGTATCTTGTTTATACAGTAGTCTAAATATAAGCATTTCAGATGAAAAATAATAAGAAATATATGAATAAATAAAAGATTTATAAAACAATTAATATAAAACTAGTTTTGGAGAGGATAAAATCTTCCCAACAAATAAAGGAAATAATAATTTGCCTTTTATGATATTTGCGAAAAGTCTTTTTGGAGAAGAGGAGTAACATTAGGAAAAAAGAATAAAAAAAAATCTCCTTTTAGTCATTTAAGGACTTGGAAATTGGTTCACTTGATAATTAAAACAGACGATAATATAAAACAAGAATAGTTCGCCTAATAAATGATTTAATAATTTGACTAAATATTTAAAGACGAAGGACTTAATTTATTATTAAGACCATATGAAATTGTTAGTCTTAGCCCAAATAGTGGACTTTTAGAAGTTGTGAAAAACTCTATTAGTATAGATGGTTTGAAAAAGGCTTTATTTGAAAATTTTAAAGAAATTACTACTTTAAGGCAGTTTTTTGAATTATACTATGGGAAATCTTTAAAAATAGCTTAAAATAATTTCTGTAAAAGTCTAGCAGCATACAGTTTAGTGTGTTATTTTTTATAAATAAAAGACAGACATAATGGTAATATTTTACTCCATAGAGACGGATATATCGTACATATTGATTTTGGGTATTTTCTATCTAATGCACCTGGAAAAGGAATAGGGTTTGAAAATAAAGTTCCATTTAAATTATTATCCGAATATATAGAAGTATTAGGAGGTGTAGATTCGGATAATTTTAAAAGTTTTCGTAAATATTTTTTTAAGTAATTTATACATGTTTGCATATTAGTGTTTGTTTTACATTTTTTTTTTTTTTTAAAAAAAAAAGAGGATTTATGGCTGCTAGAAAAAATTAAGATAAAATTCTTATTTTAGCAAAAATGCTTTATTGTGGTCATGGCTCATCTCTTCCTTGCTTCGAAAAAGGAGAATTAGCAATAGAGGAACTTGAGAAAAGATTCAATCCTCTTGGAGTGGAGAATGATGGAGAATATTATATTCATACATAAAATATAATTAATTAAAGTTTAGATAATTGGAGAGCAAGATGGTATGATAAATGGCAGTATTTTTGCTAGGGAATATTTTATTGAAAAAAAATAATAATTATAATAATACATAATAAACATATAATTATAAAAACAAAAAATTATAAATATATAATTTTTTTTTGTTTAAAAATAAATAAATGACATATTAAACATATAGTAAGCAAGAAAAATAAACTCATTTATATAAAATAGTATTAGTAGGAGACGCTGGAGTAGGCAAAACACATATAATAAATCGTTATGTAAAAGGTTATATACCACAAACAATTCCTCCCACCATAGGGGTTGAATTCGCTACTATAACAGTAAATTTAAAATGCGGAGGTTCAATAAAAGCTTAAATATGGGACACAGCTGGATAAGAAAAATATAGAAGTATAACCAGTGCTCATTATAGAAAAACAGTAGGGGCATTACTTGTATATGATGTTACTAAAGATAAATCATTTGAATCTATTTAAAAATGGTTGGAAGAAATAAGAATGCATTCCGAAAATAATATTATATTAATGTTAGTTGGAAATAAAATTGATTTAGTAGAAAAAAATTAGGCATTAAGAAAAGTTTCAAAAGAATAAGCAATTTAATTTGCTAGCGTAAATTAAATATTATTTGAAGAAAGTAGTGCGTTATAGGATATTAATATTAAGAATGCATTTGAAAAACTTTTAGAGGAAATTTATGATTAAAAATGTAAAATTTTAAGTGAAATGTCTACATATAGATAATAAGAAAATAAAATTTAATTAAATAATATAAATAATAAAGAAAATAATAATAATAATAATAATTCAGAAAATAATTGTAATTGTTGATTATTAAATTATAGAATAAAAATATATATATATATATAAATATATAAATATATATATATTTATATATTTATATATTTATATCATTTTTTTTTATATATTTTATTCTTTATATACATTTTTTTAAATTAAAATCAATTTCATACTATTTATTTATTTCTTAATTTTTCTTTATATTCTAATCTATGTAATTTTATTTATTTTTTTAATTTTTTTTTTTTAAAAAAATATAAGATAATGTTAATTTGTAAATACAAAAATTATTTATAAAAAACAATATTTATTATTTTTTGAACAAATAGATATATATTAATTTTTTTTTTATAATAAATTAATAGTTTTTAAAATTTATATATTTATTTAATTTATTAGTATATATTACTTATAATAATTAATTAATAAAATTTCATTTATTTTAATTTTATTTTAAGAATTTTTTTTCTAATTCTTCTAAACTTATAACTTTATTTTATTTAACAATATTTAAATCTACTTCATTCTAAATATTTTTTATATTAACAACTTGATTACTTTTTTAATTATATTAAAAATTAGACCCTAAAGCGCATTATTCATTACAAAATCTATTTCCTTAACTAAAAAAGCTATTATCTTTATAAAATAAAATCCCACATTAACATTATAACTAAATAAAAAATAATTAATTTATATTAAAATTTAAAATACTTATTCAGTTTTATTATAATCAAAAAGACAATTTTACGAACAAAAATTATTCTAATTTATAGTAATTTCATTTCCCATATAAAAGACTTTATGACACTAATAGCAAGATAACTTTATTGCATTTTTAGCGCTAGTTTAGGCATCTACTTAAAATTATTACCATTCCTTATTTTCTTGAATACTATAAAAAAAAGATTATTTCATTATTATTGTGTATTATTTTCAGATACTGGTTTTTTATTTTACTCTAGATTTATAAATTATACTTTTTTTTTCTTCTCTTCTCCTCTAAAAGCTTTTAAAGCTTCCAAAAAAGAATTATGTGATTATTCTTCATCGAAATTTCCTTCTAGTAATTCATTTTTTGATTATTTATTTATACAAGAAGGATATAGTATTTTATTTTAAATAATTTCAGATGCTTATTCTTTAATTTCTTTTTCTTCATGAATGGAATTTGTTTTTTTGATTTCTTATATTTAGTTTTATATCAATTATTGATGTTATATTGGTATTTTCATATAATTTAAATGAGATTTATTGATTTCTATTTATTAAATAAAAAAATTATATTTGCATTTAATGTAACTAAAAAAATAAAAAAAATAAACCTAAAATAGTTTACATATCATCAAATCCATTATCGAAAAACAATTATTCATATTAAGTTAGGTTTATTGCATTTAAAAATATATAAATTTCTTATTATTATTATTTTTGATTGATTAAATGCTTTGATAAATTTATTTGGGCTAGATTATTGTTAACTATTTTTAAATCGTTTTTTAATTCAGTTAATACATTTTTTTTTTTGTTTTAAATATTATATTGATTTTATATTGTTTATAATGTTGAATTAGGTATGAAATCTTAGTTTGAAAATGTTGATTCTTTCCATCTTGATTATGTTTTACTTTTTTAATATTTTATTTTTTTGTATTTTTTTATTTTTTTTTACGATAATTAATCTCGTGTTTGTTTTTCTTTTTCTATGGTTTCTTTTAATTATGAAAGTTTTTCTTCCTTTTTGTTTTTTTTTTGTATATCATTAATAATACAATATATTTTTTTTTGTACAATTTTATTTTGATCTAATTATTTTTCAACTAATTATTTTGGTTTATGTGGACGCATTTATTTTTAGTATTTTTTTTTTTTTTTTATAATTCAAAACCATATAAAAATTATTATATTATATATATCCTTTTAAAAAAAAAAAAAAAAAAATTAAATTATTTAAATATATAAATTATAAATTTTAATTATAAAAATAATGTACAATAATGGATTTATAAATAGCATAAGTGAAATTATTAAAAATTTAGAAGAAATGAAGTCTTAAAAAGACTAATTAAGAGTATAAATTATAGAAGAAGAAGAAGAGAGAATTAAATTAGATAAAGAACTATAAATTTTATAAGAAAGATTAGAATAAATAACAAGTATTTATATAAATCCATACAAAAAACAAAAAAAACAAAAACAAAAAAAGATTATTTAGATAAGGCAGAAAATGAAAAAAGAGAACTTGATAAAACTATAGATGAAGCTTTAAATACAAGATCAAAAGTATTAAAATAATTTTTTAAATAAAAATTATTAAGAAAGCATATATATATATGATAAAAAAATAAAAATAGATTATTGAAAGTTAAAAAAATTTACTTAATGTTTTATAAAGAGAATGTGTATATCATCTAAAAAAATGAAATAAAATAAAGATTGAAATATTTATATATAATGTATTATTTTTTACTTTTTAAAAAAAAAAAATAGTTATATAAAATATTAATTAATTTTAATTATTTTAATAAAACTATATAAATATATATATATATATAGGCTTAATAAATATTATTTTATAATATTTTTTTATTAATTCTAATGTTTCTATTTGTTATATAAAAAATAAAAAAAATTGTAAAATAAAATAAGACAAACAAAATAAAAAAATGATTAAATCTCGTAAGCATGTAAAATAATTTAAAAATATATTAAAAATTCTTAAAATAAACTATTAAATATATAAATGAAACATAATAAATATATATAATAATAATTTAATAAATTTTTAATTAAATTTATATAATAATAAACTTATTCATAAAAACATAAATTTTTATAAAAAACAAAAGATGTCTAGAGGTGATGATAATTGTTAAAAAACGAAAAAAAAAGTACAAAATAATTAATATAAGAAACGCAATAATAAATTGATTTAAAAAAAAATTCTGAAGAAATTGAAATAAAAGAAAATTATCAAACAATAGTAAAAATAAAATAATATTATTATTTTTTTATACATCATAAGTGTTAATTTATTTCTCCTTGGTTATAAAAACATGAAGATACTAAAGTTTAATAAATAGAATAATCATAAGAATCTTTTGAATTAATAATATAAGAAATAGATGTATTAAAATGTATATTTGAGGTTAAAAATTTAACATATTTTTTATTATTAAGAAAAAAAAAATAAAAAATAAAAAAAAAAAAAAAAACAAAAACAAAAAAGTTTACAATAAAAATTTCTTAAAAAAATAATAAAAGGATTAAGTAAAAATAATATTCCCTCACAGTAAAAAAAGAATGGCAGAATTAGAAATAACTCTAAACTAAACAGAATTTCCTTAAAATTATATCAAAATAAGTATAAAATATGTCATAAACTATCCTATATAACCCATATAATTTTCAATTAATGAAATATACAATTAAATATTAATACCTTACGTATATACAGAATTAGTATTGAAAAAAATATTATATATATATACATATATATTAATTATTAAAAATACAAATTAGAAATTACAAGAGATATTAATATCTGAATGCAACGAAATATCAAAACAAAAAGCTAACTAAAACTAAGTAAGTGTATTTGACATGTGTAATTACCTTTAATAGAAATTGACAGAACTTCAAAACTGTTAATTATAACACGAAAAATAGAAAAGAATAGAAGAGGAAAAAAATGAAGAAAGTGAAGAAGAAAATATAACTTAAATGGGCAGCAATTTTAATTAAAACTAAAACTTTTATGAAGAAAACTCCAAATCAGAACATTCAGAAAGTAGGCTTGAATATTTTAAAAAATTTTCGATTGGTAAATATACTGAGAGGAGGTTTTTTAAAAGATTATTACTCAAATTAGAATATTCCTTATGATTCAGATGAAGATATTCCTTAAGAAATTATTATAATTAAAGTTCCAAAAGAAGTTATTATAAGCTTATTTTTAACCAAAATCAATTATAGGTGGTGGAGGATTCGGTAAAGTATTCATGGTTTAAAATAAATTAGATAAACTATTCTATGCAGTTAAAAAAATTAAAATCGATCTATAAAAAAAATAAAAAATTATCAAAAAAACACTCAAAGAAGTCGGTCTTCTAAGTAGACTATAACATAATCATATTGTTAGATATTATTAAGTATATATATTATTACTAAAAAAACAAAAAACAAAATATATATATTAATTTTTAAAATTATTTTTTTATATTACTTTCTGTAATTTTTTTTTGAAAAACACCACCTACAAATAAAAAAGGCGAGAAAAAAATGGATTAAGCACTTTTTTATTGAGTTTTTAAAAAAAAATTACAGAAAAAATAAACCATGCTAAAAAGTAATATATATGTATAATAGGCATGGATAGAAAGAGCAGATGAATAGACTTTAAAAGAATTAAAAGGAAGTGATGATGAGGAAGATGATGATTATGATGATGAAATAGAAGATGAAAGTAGTTCTTAAGAAGAAAATAATAATAAAAATAGTAATAGCATTAATAATAAAATAGAAAGTTCATTACCTTTATGCTAATATTCTGATGATGATGATAGTGATTGTGCTTTCTATTTTGAAAGTTAAGATAGTGTATAAAAAGCTAAAAATAGTAATAGTATACTACTTAATTAAGAATCTTCAGAAGAAGAACAAGAATAAAGTGAAATAAAAACAAAAAAAAATAATAAAATAATAATACTACACATATAAATGGAATATTGTTCCGGAAATACAATAAGAGAAGTAATAGACAAATATTTCAAAGAAAATGAAAAAAATATTGAAAATAAGTAAAACAAAATAAAATTCCAAAAAAAAAAAAATATATATATATATATATATATATATATATATATATATATATATATAGAATTGATAAAAAACATCGAAAAATACTAGTTGCTTAAATCCTTGAAGCCTTAAAATATTTACATGAGCAAAAATTAATTCATCGAGATCTAAAACCATAAAATATCCTCTTAGAAAACGGCTAAATAAAGCTTGCAGATTTCGGTCTTGCAACAAAATTAAGCTTGGATCGTATATTGGAAAAAAAAGAACTAAAAAAATAAACTAGTAATAACAACTATAATGAAACAAATGAAATATATACAAATAAATTCAAAGAATTAACCTAAGGCGCTGGTACAGAAACGTATACAGCTCCAGAGTAGAAATATTCAAAAAGCTACGACACTAAGGCCGATATGTATTCTTTAGGATTAATTATTTTCGAGATGTGGTACCCTATAACAACTTTTGCAGAAAAAATACATGTATTTAACAAACTGAAAAATTTTATTGAATTTCCTTCCGATTTTTAAAAAAAAGTAGGTGAAGATGCCGAAGACATAAAAACTATGATAACTTAATTATTAGATAAAAACCCTTCAAAAAGGCCTTCAGCAAAAGAACTTTTAAAAAAATTTGACGATAAAAAATTCGACGAATATATCAGTCAAATAACAAATCCGAAAAACTACGAACATGTTAAATTATTGAATTCACTTTTCAATATACATAATGTTCCAGGAAGTAAATACAGTGTAGAATCTAATATGAAGCATATTACTTAAAGTCCTATTTATATAATGATTTAGAATAAAGTTTAGAATATTTTCTCAACTCATGGAGCTATTGAAATTGATGCAAATCCTTTAGTACCTTTAACAGAAAATATATATGTTAATAAATTGACTTATAGCAGGAAATAAGAAAAAGTAGTTTATAAATAAAAATAATATACTAAAATTATTTGTAGAAAAAATAAATGTATAATGCTGTCACATTAAGGTGTTTTGTTAGAATATGCAGATAATTTAATTATTCCATGGATTAATCATCTTAATTAAAATAGCTTTAAAAATAGACCAATTAATAGAATATTTAAAAGATACACAATAAAAAAAATTATGTAATAAAATAATAAATAAAATATAAATACTATAAAAGAATATTTAAGAGCAAGTTATGATATAGTAATATAAATAAATATATAAATATATAAATATATAAATATATAAATATATTAATATATAAATAAATAAATATATATATATATATATAATATAAATATTTTTATACTTATTTACATATATTTATATTAATAATTTTATTTTTGCTGTTTAATTTTATTATATCAAATAAAATAAAATATATTTTAATAAACTTTGTTAATAATATATAAATAACAATTTATCTTTTTATTAATATAAAAAAGACTTATCTAAAAGATTAATATTGGTTAGATGATACTAATTAGAATAGAATAAATTATGAATCTGAAATATTAAGAGTTAGTTATGAAATATTGAATACTTATGATGTTGATAAAAGATTTGAATATTAAATGCGAATAAGCCATTCTGGTATTTTAGATTTGATAATAAATGAATATAAAAATTCTTAAATTAGCGAACATACATTGCTTAAAATATTTGCTGATAAAACTGTAGTTTTATTCTTTAAAACATTCGAAATAATACAAATTCTGCTAAAGATTAATTTATCTAATACTTAAGTTTAAATTATTAAATACAATCAATTTTTTTTCAAAAATTATTTGCATTTTTCGCCTTAATATCAGATTAAAATTTATTTGAATTTCAATAAAAACTTGAAAAAAATTTTAAAAATAATAAATAAGAAATATAAAATATAATAGACTATTTAAATTAATTATTAAAATATATAAAATTATATAAATTCCTGATTAATTAATTATTTTTGACTCCTCAGTTATTACTGAATAACTTTCTTATTATTCAGGACTTATTTTTGATATTATTAGTAATTAAAAACATTTACAATTGAATAAAACAAAAAAAAACTAAGAAAATTAATCATTAGAAAACATAAATAATATAACAAAAGTTTTCATAAAAGGAGGTAGATATGATAATTTATTTAATGAATTTTAAATTGCTAGTTCTTAGCATAATTAAATTGAAGGTTTAGGTTTTTAATTATATATAGATGAAATATTTGATTATTATTATAAACCTTTAAATTAAGAAGTAAATATATATTTATTATTCTTTTAAATATTTATTAATTTTTAAATACTTTTTAAAGCATAAAATATAATTATTACCTTAAATTTAATAATATAATTATATTGAAGCAGTTATTGCAAGTACTGAATCTAATATTGATTACTTAAAGTTTGAGATTGCAGATTAAATGTGGAGAAATTATATTAAAGCTCATGTAATTATGGAATAAATAATTGATATTAATGCACTTATTAATTAATTAAATAATAGTCATATTCCTTATTTAATTACTATAAAAAAAAATAACAATAAGGTAATTTTTGAATAAAAAAATAATTTATTTGTAATTTTATTATATTATATTAGATAAGATTAAGAAGTCTTTATAATTAATAAGGAAATAAAAAATTTGATTTAGAAAAAGATGTTGATAAATTAAATGAATTAATTGAAAGAATTATATAAATTAAATATTAAATATATAATTAAAAATGATTTTTTTTAAAAGTAAAAAAATAAAATTTTTATAAAAATAATTTTACATTAATATTATTTATTTAATAGTTGTAAATAGATTTTTGTTTGTTTGTTTAAATTATATTATATTTTTAATAAATATAATTATAAATATACATAATGTAAATTTTTATAAATAATTACATCATATTATTAAGTTTATTAATTAAATATTTTTTTATTTTTTTCTATTATTAATCTAAATAAAATTCAAAATACCATATATAACTAATAATTAAATATTGTATTATTATTTTATTTTATATATATATATATATATATTGATATAATGGCAGAAGAAAATTAAATTTTTGATACATACAAAAGTTAAAAAATTAAAAAAATAATAATAATTAAAGAAAATAAAAATAAAACTAGTTGTATTGGTTGGAGATACAAGTGTAGGCAAAACAAATATTTTAAAAAGGTAAAATAATATATAGAAAAAGATTAATAATTTTCATATTACAAAATTCCAAAAATAGATATGTAAGGAATCAACTACCATAAAATTCTGCACCAACAATAGGAGTAGAATTTGCAACAAAAACAGTTTAATTAAAAAACGGTTTAATAGTAAGAACATAAATATGGGATACAGGTATTATTTATTTTAAATTAAATATATATAATAAATATTTTATTTTTAAATTTAACAAAACAAAACAAAAATAGCTGGTTAAGAAAGATATCGATCAATTGCAAGTGCGTAATTAATATATTATTGACATATTTATTTTTAATAATTATTTTATATGATTTCAGACATTATAGAAGAGCTGTTGGAGCATTATTAGTATATGATATAACAAAAGAAAAATCATTTAGTTCTGTTACTAAATGGATGGAAGATTTAAAATATTAAGCAGATCCAGATATTATAATAATGCTTATTGGAAATAAACTAGATTTAGTAGAAAAAAATGATTCAGCAAGAAAAGTTTCAATAGAAGAAGCAAAAAATTTAGCAATTGAAAATAATATGCTATTTGAAGAAACTTCAGCACAAACAGCATAAAATGTAAATGAGGCTTTTGAAAGACTTTTATAGGGTATGTTTTTTAATTTGAAATATTAAATAAATGTGTATATATATATATATATATATATAATTATTTTATATGTATATAAATATTAGTATATAATTTGATAAATATATATATATATGTATTATTATTTTTAATATTTATATAATTAATAACATATAGAAATAAATAATCATAAGAGTAAAAAACCTATAGATTAAACAGGAATGGGATTAATTAGTAATCAATTAAATGGAGGACTGTAATAAAAATGTATTTGCTGATATCAATTATTAAAATTAAAATATATATTAGTTATTTTATTTTATTTTTATTAAGATTCTATTTTTATATTAATGTTTTTAATTTTAATAATTTTTTATTTATTAATTCTTTAATATGAATACTGTTTTGAATTTAGAATAAATAAAAATAAATTTTATTAAGTTAACTATAAAATATTTATTTGCTTTTACTTAAATATTATATAAAATTATGAATTTTATTTTTTGTAAAATTTAAAATAGATTTTTTTTTTAAAATAAAATATATAACAATATAGGAAAAATAATATAAATATAATAAAATTGTTAAAAACAAAAAAATTTAAATATATGTATAAATAATATTGATAAGTATTAAAATTAAATACAATAATATATATATTTCTATAAATATTTTATAAAATATTAATAAAACAAACATACAAAAATGCAAATTTATTTATAAATTATATTATTTAAATAAAACTCACTAATTTTTTTTTTTATCTTTTGGTTTTTTCTAACATACTTTATTTTTCATGTCTGGATAGAATTTCTCCAAAAACATATCAGTTTAAACCGAATAAGTAATATCGTCCCCTATTTAAAAATACTAATCATTATTTAAAATATTCTAAACTTAATATCTTTTACTTTATAAATTTTCCAAAACCTTAGTATCAATTTAGACTTTCATCAACGCAATATAATTTTATACACTTTTATATTTACCAAGCATAATTTTCTCAGCCTAAACCTTAACTGGTATTTTAAAATTATCAATAGAAATTAAATTAATATCTTCCCAAGGTTTTTTATTTTTATATATATCCGCAAACTACTCTATAATAATATAATATCTAGAAAGTGGTTCTACGAAATCTAAAAGCCCCTTCCTTAAATTAATTTATTTGAAACTTTCATAATTTAATCCTAAAACATTTAATAATTACTCACTATATCCTTAATAAATCATTGTATCTTCCAAATAGGACCCTCTTTTAATAAAATAGGCTAAATATTAATTTTCTTATATTTTCTAACCAATAATTTCTTTTGCTTTTTTTAAACAATTTTCCCATAATTCTTATTATTAAATTATTTATTTTATTGAATTATATCCATTTCCTTCTTCATCTACAACAGATTGCATTTTCAACTTGAAATTTGTTATTTTCTAATATTTACTAAGTAAAACAGCTATCCCATGTGCAAATTTATCATTAAGGGAGTTCAATATATATATTATTTGGGAAAAATCGGATGTTCCTTTTTAATATTACCCAAGTTCTATTTCTACAAATTAATTAAAAACATCTCTTTAGATACTTTTAACTGGTCGAAAATCGGAAAGAACCGAATATCGACTCTCAAATCCTTAAAGTTAATCAATATCTATACATATGTCACCAAGTAAATAATATTTTCGATTTTAATTTACTGGTTAAATTAATTAATATGAACATTATTTTATTTATTTAGCATATGATTATTATTATTGCTATTATTATTAGGTTATTAAATTAAGAGATTATTCGCGAGTTGAATCTAGTTAACTATGATCATGATAATGCTCATGACCATGTTCATTTTCATGTTAATTTTCATGCTCGTGCTCTTTCGATTCTTAAGACTCGAAATAAGACATATTTTTATAGTAATTATTGTCAAAATTAAGATAGCTTTCGTCATAATTAAATGTTGAATATTCGTTTTGATTCAGAAATTCTATTTCCATATTTTATTTTTCTCTAGAATTATTTATTAATCTTTTTTTTTTTTTTCTATGTTTGTTTAATTTTTTTATATTTTTTTAATTTTTTTTGGTTTTATTTGATTAATTATTTTATTATTTTTGCTTTTTTAGAACAAAGAAAAAAAAAATTCTAAAAATTAATATAAATATATTTATAAATTGTTTATTTTGTTGTGGGTATTTTTATTTAAAAGAAACTTAGTTTTTTTTATAGCTTTTTTTAAAAATATTAGTTATTACAATTATTATATATTTAAATAATAAAATTCTAAATAATTTTAATATATATTTATATTTATAATAATAATTATTTTTCATATTTTTAAAATATATATTTATTAGTTAATTTGGAAATTTCTATGGTGCAATTTATCAAATAATGAAATAGACTAAAGTTATTATTTAAATATATTATAAAATTTACTTAATGCGTAATCAATATCAAAATTTTTTATTAAAAGAATACTTATTATATTTTCTTATTAGATAAGTTAACATTACAAATTTATATAAAGAAAAAATATAGAAAATAAAGAGAAAAAAAATATTAACATAACTAAATTATAATGAAATAAAATATTTAAAAAAAAAAAAATGCATAAAAATTGCCTTTAAATTTTATTTTAGTCATTAAAATATACTAAATTTTTATTATTTCGTAAATATTTATAAATATAATAACCGATTGTTATAAAAATTAAAAAAAAATACTAATTATTTTTTAAAACATTTATAATGTATTAATAATATAATTTTTATATATTATAAATACATAAAATAATATTGATGTTCTTGTTTTTTGTTCTAAAATAATATAAATAATTTAAAGATGATATTTATTTTACTTTTATATAAAAATTATTTATTTTTGTTTAAAATTTAATTTAAATCATAAATATTAAATTTTATTCACAACAGAATTCATTTTAAAAAAATAATTATGAATAAATATGATTATTTTGAATCAAATATTTAATAATATATTACTTTTATTTAAATATTTTATTTAAAATATCCCAATTAATTATAAAAAAAAATTAATTTTTTATTTTAATTAAAAAGCAAATAGTCATTTTAATTAGAAAATATAAAAAATAATAAAAAAAAAATATTAAATTTTAAATATTAATAAAATTAGACATATATTAAAAAAAAAAGATATTAAAAAAAAAAAATTACTTTTATCTGTTAAAGGAAAATATATATATATATATATATATATATATATATATATATATATATATATATATATATATAATTTTATTATATTTGTATAAAATTAAAATTTCTTTTTTTTATATAAAAATTTACTTATATAAAAATTATCTAAAAATGTATTTTTATTAGAAATTATAAAAATATAATTTCTAATTTATATATGAATTTTTATTTTTATTTTCATTTATCTTTTTATATAAATAGATCAATAATTTTAACTAAATTATTTTTTATATAATTAATTTCTTATTCAATTTTAGTAAAATTAATTCCACTTTAATCTTTTAATTATACTTACAAATTTTATAAATTTTGTAAATTTTTTTCATTTTCTTCTTAATAATCATTATTTTATTTTAAAAAGTCATATTTACATTATTCGAGAATATTTTCAATTTCTTAATAAAAAAATAAAATATTATAATTAAAATAAAAAAAAATAATACTGCAATTATTTTTGTTTAAATTTTAAATTTCATTCATTATAAAATCAAATTATTTATTTGCAGAAAATATAAATTTCCCTATTTCCTCATTGTCTTCATTTAGTTTGCTTTTTTCATTTAATTATAAATTTAGTTCATTTTAAATTTTTTCTTAAATTAAAAATTATCTATCATGTAATTCTAATTAACTTTTTATATCAGTACAAGATGTTTTATATATGATGCTAAATTATTTGTATTCTTCTCTTATTAATTTTAATATATCTTCATTATATATACTTTATGTTTCTAACTGATATATTCTGCTTTCTAAACTATCCAATCTTCGGCTAATTTAAATTACTATTTCTTCAAAAACATTAATTGGGACAAAAGGACAAACTTAATCGCTTTAAATCCGAGATACTTCTGCTTTAAGTCTTTTCGTGTAAAACTCAAAATCACTTCCACAACCTGAATTTTTCATATTTTTATTTTTATTATTATTTTTATTGTAATATAAATTAAATTTAATTTAATAAATTATTTAATTATTTTAGTTAAAAAATAATTTTTATTTATTTATTTTTCGTTTAAATGAAAATATATTTTATTTTAAAATAATTTTAAGTAATTATGCAATAATAAATATCATTATAAATTCCATAAATTAAAGAATAAAAAATAAAATAAAACTAAAAATGTAAAAATAATTACTATCAGTATATCATAATATTTAATACAATATAATAAAATACTATAAAAAAAACTTTTAATAAATATATAAAAAATATATAAAAATAAAGTAAAAAAATATATATAAAAATAATACAAAAAAAGAAAATATATATATTTATATATATATTTTATATATATATATATATATATATATTATTAAATTTATTTTATATTTATAATATTTTTAATATTTTTAATATTAATTTCATTAAAATATTTTTTATTTTATTAAAATTCATTAATAAATATTTATATTAATTTTTTATAAAATAATAAACTATCATATTTTTTATTAATATAATCAATCTAATTTAATAGTTTTTATATTTATATATATAAAATATATTTATTTTAAATAAATATATATTATTTTGTTAAGCAATTTATATTTACATTTAAAATTATATATGTATAAATTTATACTCTTTTTTAATAAAAATAGTATTTTCAAGAAATAAAATAAACTAAATATAAAATTATAATTTAAAAATATTTAAAATTTTATTAATAAAGATACATGTAGACCACATCAATACTTAATAATGGATAAATATACTAATTATAAGCATACGATTATTCTAAATTGAATAAATCATATATAGATGAAATATTTTAAATAGAACTTCATCATATAACTGAATTTGAACAGAAAATGATTAGTTACATAAAATATTTAAATAAGCCAGGAATTACAGAGTTTTGGACATTTTCATAGCATAAAATGAAAATATTATATTATTTATTTACTTTTAGATTTATTTAAATAATAAAAGAAGGTAGAATTACTGAAAATGCATACAAAAAATTTACAAATGATTTAAAAGAATCATATAAATAAGTAAATTAAAAATAAAAAATATATATCTAATATATATAGATATTGAGATATATAAATATATAGATATATATAAATATATATAAAAATAAATATATATATATATATATATATACATATTTATATAATATTTTTTTTTTTTTTTAAAATAAAGAGTGATTTTGATTTTGAAAATGATTAATTTTTTTATTATTTAGAGGCTCTTTTTTAATTGAAATATGATTCTAATATTTTCAAAAGAATAAAAGTAAAAATAAAATTGTAATAAAATAAAATAAAATAATATGCTTTAAATTAAAATAAAGAATACATTTTATTATTTATTTGAGTTCAGGCATTGTTTTGATTTATATGACTTTCCTAGAAGAATAGTATATTTAAAAGATCTTTTTATAAATCTATAATTAGATTAAAGCAATATATTAATCGAATAAATTCTTTATGAATATAATAGAATGAAATCTTCTTCTAATAAAATAGAATATTTTTATAATTAATCTGCTTTAACCTTAGATATATTTGGTCAATCGTTTTTATATTATCCTATATACTTATTCAAGAGTTATCTTATATATAAAAATGTTATTAGAGAAGGTTTTTTTGAATCTAAAAAGTGTTTCATTTAATCCCATATTGAAAACGTTAAATAAATATTTGAGACTTTATTTAGAAAAGAAAATATAGATATGACTTATAAATTTGTATTATATAGTTTATTATAAATGAATAAATCAAATAGGGATTTTTTATATAAGTTAAAGTAAAAATTATGTGATTTAAATGAATAATATGATAACAAATTAACTATATAAAGAGAATCTACAGAAGAGTAAAAAATATTCTATTAAGAACTTTTAAATGAATTAGAATTAAAAAAATCAGATTTCTAAATTGTATATTAAGACATTTGTGATAGATTTAAGAGTTTAAAAAATGAAATGAGAAAAAGAAAAGAAGAAAGAATGAATAATTATTTAAATATAGAAAAGGAATCAAATAAGAAATTTGCAGTTTAAGAATAAACTATTACCTGTTCAATTTTCAAAGACAAGTATTAAACTTAATAATATTAATCTTAATAAGATTTGGAAAAAAGGGAAGTTTAATTATATGAAGAAAAACTGAGAAATTAGAAAATAAATCAAAATAAATTTCTAATTGAAAACTTAAAAAATAAAAGTGAAATACTTCTTACCGAAATTTAAATTTTAGAAAAAAATCTTTCCCAAATAGAATAAAAAAAATTTGATATAGAAATTTTATAAGAATAAATAAACTAAAAAATTCTATAAAATTCAAAAAATAAAAAATCCCTAAAAATATTACAAAATGATCTTAAATAATTAAACACAGAATACCAAAAACTCGAAAAAGATCATAAAAATATAAACTAAGAATTCCAAATAAAAAAATAAGACTAAAAAATATACCAAGACCTCTACAATGAATACAGTAAAGATGAAAGAGAAAAATAAAGATTAAATAATATGAATATGGCCGAACGTGCGGAAGATTACATTAATAAGAAAGTCAATAATTTCTATAATTGGGTTAATTCTGATAGAAGAAATAGACGAACTGTTTCATAATATTTCCTTGATAAATTTTATTCCATAAATGGCTATTTTGGAGAAAAAATAGGCAATTTAATGCTTTGGTCTACTTTATTTTTTAAAACATTAATAGTTTCTAAAATAGACAATAAAAAATTACTCTATTAACTTTATTAAACAGAACTTTTCTAAAATATTTAAGATCCTATAACAAAACTAGAAAATTTATATCCAAAAAGCTCATCCTAATTATTTTCTATTAAAAATATTTTTATGGCTAAAACCTCTGTATTTGCAATCAGACTACTCAAGCATAATATTTTAGGATTAGATGCTGTTTAATTAGGTCTATTTAAATAATTATAATGGAAAATTAAATAATATGTACCTGACGTTCGTTATGATTTTTACAATAATTTCACTGCAGGAGCCATTACTGGTGTTTTTGGAGCTATGGCTTCAAATCCCTTAGACAATTTGAAGACAAACTACTTATTATATAATTAATTACCTAATTATAGCTTATTTACTGGATTGTTTGCTAACTGTTTGCATAGTGGGTTATTAAAAGGACTGTAATTTGGTCTATATGAAAAATTCAAAAAGGATGCTTTTTAAAATAATTGTTCTTAAGGAGACTAACATTATTATGATCCAAATATAAGTTCTAATTATATGTCAATTTCTTTAAAATATTTGGCTTTTTATAAAGCTTCGCTTATTAGTAATAGTTTGTTGTATCCATTAGATACTATAAAGAGAATTATTTATGTTTAATCTAACTATAATAATCATAATTATGCTTAAACTCTTAATTAGAAAATTGGTAATGATGTTTGGTAAAATTTAAAAAGCTTTAAGTATAATCCATAAAATTTATATGGAGGTTTTATACAAAATGGTTTAAAAGTTACTTTTTAACCTACAATGCTAGTTTTTTGGGATCATTTTGCTTATAAATTAACTGGAAAATCTTAAATAGATTATTTATTGTATTGAAAGTTTTTGATTTTGTTTTGTATTTTGTATTTTTTTTAATTTAAATAAATATTTTTATATTAAGATTTTAATAATATTTATAAAATTAATATTGATATTTTAATAAGATTTTTTAGAGTTTTAGAGACATATAATAATTTTTATCTAAATTTTATATATTTCAACATGAATTATAATTAATTTATATTATTATATCATCTAAACAACTATTTAAATTATTTTTATTGTTTTCATTTTTACATTATTAAACTATATTTTATTTTAAGGATTGTAAAGTATCTTTGTTAATTGAAAATTCAGAAACAACCATTTTAAGAAACTTAAATATAGTTTTATTAGTAAATTTATGATTTTCTAAATCATATGCCATTTATTGATTTTTATTTTCCTATAATAACTTTTATAATTCTCTAATATCATTTTTTAATTTATTTATTTATTTAGTTTACTAATTTATTATTTCTTAACTTTTTAAATTACTATTTTTTAAATTACTTTTACTTTATATTTCTTATATTTATAAATATAATAGTTTATTTTGTTTTTCCAATTCCTAAAATTAAATTTAAGTTTATAATTCATTAATAGACATAATTTTTTATTACAACTATTATTACTATTACTATTACTAATACTATAATATAATTTCTGTTTTATTTTAATTATCTTACCACAAAAATGTGTTTTAATTATAGAATTATTAAATAATTTACTAAAATTTATTATTATTTTAATAATTATTTTAAATAGATATTTATTACTAATTAAAAATATATTTGTTATTGATAATTTTCTGACTATTAATTTAATAACTATTTTACTCATTTTAAACAAATATTAAATCAAATATTTTATTTATAAATTATTTAAAGTATTCAAATGATTATTCGATTTACAAGGATTCTAGATATTATAATTAATTCATTTATTATTAATTTTCATAAGTAAAATTATTTAAGATATTTGCCAATTTTTATAATTAACAACTACTTAGTTAATATATTTCACTTTAAAATATTTCATTTAAAAATTCCTAATCATTTTATATTGTAAACTTTTATTGAATAAAAGATATTTTTTCAAATAAATTTTATTAGAAATAATAAACAAGGTTTTAAATCAATTTTTTAGATTATTCTATTAATTCTTAAAATAATTCATAAGGTTTAAAAAAATATATTATTTATTTTATATGATTTATATCTTTTTTATCATCAATGTGTTTACTGTGAAATTCTTTTAAACATTAGCTACAACACAAACGATTTTCTTTACAATTTATTTAATGACAAAAATACTTTATTTTTAAATTATGTTATTCGCATATACTTATATCATCCATTTTTTATTTTGCTTTTTACTTGAAAAAAATAATAAAATAATAAAATATTTGATACTTTTATTAAATAAAATATATTATTATAAGAAATTAGAAAATTTATTGTAAAGTATTTTTTAAAAAATATAAAATAATATTATTTAATTAATTAGTTTGTTTGTTAAAATTTACATATTTATAATTACAATAAAAAAAAAAAAAAATTATAATAATAAATACTTAAATAATTTTTTATTTATAATTTATACATAAAATAAAAAATTATGAATATTTCATAAGATTAAATCAAGAAATATTACATACTAATTATATATATACTGAAGTAAAATAATTTTAATTTTAAAAACCATATAGATTTATCAAAATTCAAATATATAAATCTCTTCTTTAATATTTCTTTAAATTATAAATTATTGATTAAATATAAAAAAAGTTCTTTTACTAAGCATTTATTCATAAATTATTTTAATAGTAATTTTTTTAATTATCGACATTAAACTCTAAAATTAATTTTACGTATTTTAAATCCATATGAAACAAAGAAATAAAGCTTGTGTTCAAAATAAATAAAATATAATAAGAAATAGATAAAGCATTTAAAATAAAAATCTGATCCAATTTATTATATTTTTTCTAGATAAGAATTTAAATAATAGAATCTAAATGATAAAAAAATAAAAATTATTATTTAAAGTTTTGAAAATTACGTATTAAATAGCATAATGTTGATAAAATAAATATAGATATTTTAAGAAAAAAATAATTTTTTTTTTAATTTTTTTTTGTTAAACAAAATATATGAATGCATTAATATAAAAAACCAATTGTAAAATATCCATTTAGTAAAAGTTAATCTTAATAAGGCAATATAGAAAACATGAATAGACTTAATTAAGAAATAATTCCTAAAAACAAATTTAGTTATTATAATCTTTTATATTCATTAAAGCTTTGTTAATTCTATAAAATATAATTTAAAAAATAATTTAAAACACCTAAAAAGCATATTAATCCTACTCCAAACTATAAATAAATAATTATTTGTTATTTTAAAAATAAACTAATGAATATATATTGTAAATAACTTACTTAAAATAAATGTAATTATTTAAAAGGTAATTTTATAAATTAAGGAAATAATGTTTTTTATTCAGAATCATTTTAATTAAATGTACAATAAATGCCTCCAAATAATGTTATTGAGCTTACGAATAGGTATATTAATGGTATTATTTTTATATTACTATGATTATTTTTTTCATTTGAATTAAAATAACTTAAATTTTCACTTTCACAAAATGAAGAGGATAAAAACGAACTTCTTTCTTCATTATAATAAATATTTAAAATATTAGAACTTTCGGTATCTTTTCTAAAAAGTTGTTTAGGTTTTTTAGGATTTAAACTCATTATATTTATCTTTTATTTATTTTATTTTTTTTATGCACGTTTTTAAATTTTAAAAAATTAGCAAAATGTTATTTTAAATTATTTTTTTTATAAAAATAAAATAAAATATTAATTGTTATTTATAATACAAATAATATTTATTTTTTAAAAAAAAGAAATAATAATAATAATAATAAAAATAATAATAAAAATAATAATAAAAATAATAATATAATATATAATGCTAAATAATATTTAAAGAAATGATCAGTATATTAATAAAATATTATATATATATATATTATAGAAAAACAAATTAATTTTGTACTTTCTACTACTAATAAGCAGTATATTCAATGATTTTTTTATAGTAAAAATAAAAATAAAAAATAATAATATAAAAAAATGAACGAAGTCTAATTATTAAAAAATGAATAAAAAAAAAAAAAAAAACTCTCTACCATTTTTACTTAAGATGGAATTCCTAATAAAATAGTAGAAAATTTATATTTAGGCTCCGTAGGTTCCGCATGGTAAAAAAACTCATTAATTCAACATTAAATCAAATACGTTTTAACAATACTTGATTGTTAAGAGCCAGTTTTTCCTGATATAATCGAACAACATAAAATAATACGTGTATATGATAACTTGACTTAAAACATTATTTAATATTTTGATGAATGTATTTAATTTATTAATAAAGCTGTTTAAGAAAATAAAAATGTTTTAGTACACTGTTATAAAGGTAAATCAAGATCAGCTTCAATTGTTATTGCTTATTTAATTAAGCATTTTAATTATGATTTATAAAAAGCTTTAGAAATAGTTTAAAATCAAAGGCCTTGTGTATTTCCCAATGAGAATTTTATACTACAACTGTAATAATATGAATAATAAATTAAAATATAATAATAAGATGTTAATATAGTTAAAAATTAATGATATTTATATATGTTTATTTTTTTATTATACAAAGAGATTCATATATTAATAAATTTTGAGTTCAATTCATATTTTATTAATTCATTTGAAATCGAATATTATAAAAATTAAGTTTTCTTTTATATATATATATATAATTGTATTTTTTAAAAAATATATAAGTATAATAAAAAAGAAGTTTTTTAGACCATATAATATTTAAAATAATCATTTATAAAAAATTTAAAAATTATAATAATTTCTTATATATATATATTATTATTTTTTTCATTATTTTGTGTTCTCAATAATTTATAAAGCCAATTTCAATGCTTCTTTTGCATTATTAAATTAATTAAAATCCAACTCAGAAATAGCTTTATTACAAAAATCAAGAATTTGAGTTTAAGCTTATTAAGGATTTATATTAAATCCAATTGCCATATTAATATATGGATTAGGGAATTAAACATTTCCATTTTTTTTAGTTTATGTCATTTAATTATTATCTTAATAATTGTTTGCAATTTATTTAAGGTTATTAACATTAATCGCTTTTGGTACACTTTAAAAAACACTCTGTCTATTATTTTAACTAAGATTTTAATTATTTTAAACATTTGGAATATTGGGCTTCTAAACTGACTCGTTTTTAACTTATCGGGGATATTAAGCGGGATTATCTAATTTTTTTTTAACTTCAACGGCTTTAGATTTAGCATAAATCCCTATAAAAAATATTTTATTTCATAAAAAATATATTTATAAATTTTTACTTTTTTAATTTATTTATTAGTCTAAAACTCCAAATATAGCTAACATTTCAAAATATCTTGAAACCATTTAAAAGTCTTTACATGTTTATTATGTATAAATATCATTTCTTTCTTCATGGTCACATTTTGCGAAAATTTTAAGTGTGTGATTTATTATATCTTATTTATTTTATTCCTTATTTTAAAGTTAAGGACCTAATGCTTAGCCTTCGATTTATAATTCGTTATTCCATTCATTCATTATTGTTTCTATTAATTCTGTATCTTTGCCTTATTATTAATATTTTTGCAATAAAATTTTAGATTTTTAATGTGCGTATAGCTTTAAATAATATGCGAGAATAGGAAAATTTAGTTTAACTTCTTAAGAGTAAATTATAAAAGGTTTTAAATATAATATTTCTTTGTCCATTTTTTTTTATGTATTATTTTTTATATATAGAAATAATATAATAATAATTTCTTTAATAAAATAAATTATTTAACAAAGAAATTTTATATATAATTATTATTTATATCTTATGAATTAACCACAATAATATAAAAAAATATTAATACATTCTAATAATATAAAAAAATATAAAATTATATTTATTATTTTAGGTTTTAATTTAAATTAAAATGTTATATGTCATATATATATATATATTTTATATTAAAAAAAATAAAAAAAATGTTAATGTTTATATATAATAATTAAAATATTTTTGTTAAAAGTTTATAAATATTTATTTAAATAAAAAATGCAATGTTACCAATATAATTCATATAAATAAACAAAAATTATATATATAAAAAAACAAATATTGAAAATAAAATATCAAGATTGATTATTTTTTAAATACATTTAATAAAATAAATAAATTAAAAACTTTATATATTTTTATTTTTGAATAAAAAAAAAAAATATTCGAAAAATGTCATAACAAATTTAACCAAAATAAGAAGATAATAAATAAGCACCTATAAACTAAAAATTAGATGTAATATTTTAAACAGTAAAAGGTTTTTTTGCCTTAAAATATGCCAAAACTGATAGTATTCCATAAAAAATAATTGAAAATGTGTATTTAGGATCTATCGGTGCAGCATTATAAAAGAATTAATTAATATAAAACAATATAAAATTTATTCTAACAGTAATGGATGGCAAGAAATGCCCTTTTCCAGAATTAATTGAAGAACATAAAATAATAAATATACTAGATAGTTAAACAGAAAACATAAAATAATATTTTGAAGAGTCTAACTCTTTTATAAATAAAGCACTTTCTTAAAAAAAGAATATACTTGTCCATTGCTTTGCAGGAAAATCAAGAAGTGTATCACTTATTATTGCTTATTTAATTAAATATTAAAATCTCAGTGTTGATAAAGCCTTAGAACATATTAAATAGGTTAGACCAGTTGCAGGTCCTAATAATAATTTTATTAAATAATTAAATGAATACTATCAATATATACATAATGAAAAAAATACAAATTAAAATTAGTAAGAAATTCATATTTAAAAATTCGATAATTAATAATTTTTGATATAATAAGACAAAGAGGAAAGTAAAGAAAAGCATGAAACAATTCATTAAGAAAATTAACAAGAAAATCATTAAGAAAATTATTAAAAAAAACAAGAAGAAAATCAAGAAGAAAAACAAGAAGATAAATAATAAGGAAATCAAGAAGAAAAATAATAAGAACATCAAGAAGAAAAATAATAAGAAAATTAACAAGAAAAACAAGAAGAAAATAAAGAAGAAAAGCAAGAAGAAAATCAAGAAGAAAAACAAGAAGAAAATCAAGAAGAAAAATAAGAAGAGAATCAAGAAAAAAAATAAGAAAAAAAACAAGAAGAAAAACAAGAAGAAAATCAAGAAGAAAATTAACAAGAAAAACAAGAAGAAAATAAAGAAGAAAAGCAAGAAGAAAATCAAGAAGAAAAACAAGAAGAAAATCAAGAAGAAAAATATGAAGAAAAACAAGAAGAAAATAAAGAAGAAAAATAAGAAGAAAATCAAGAAGAAAAACAAAAAAAAAAACAAGAAAAAAAACAAGAAGAAAATCAAGAAGAAAAATATGAAGAAAAACAAGAAGAAAATAAAGAAGAAAAATAAGAAGAAAATCAAGAAGAAAAACAAAAAAAAAAACAAGAAAAAAAACAAGAAGAAAAGCAAAAAGAAAAGCAAGAAGAAAAATATGAAGAAAAACAAGAAGAAAAGCAAGAAGAAAAGCAAAAAGAAAAAATATAATAAAATCAAAAATTTTAAATAAAAGATTAAAATTAAAATTAATAATAAAAAGATATTAATTAATAATAAAAGAATTAATAGAATTTTTAAGAAAATTAATGTAAAGATAATAATAATTTATAAAATTTAAAATTCAATTAAGATACACAAAATTAATAATTCATAGTTTATAAATTAGAAGAGCAAAAATAATAAAATATTTTTTATAATAACCCTAACGTTGATATTTAAAATTCTTAAATATAATATATATAAAATAAAGGATAAAATAATTAATATATTTAAGACGATTAGTGTCTTGATGAAAATACTTATAAATCAAGCGAATAAAATGAAAACCTAATTAAAAATAATACTAATGAAAACAAAAGTCAAGAATAATTATATAATTAGAATTAAAATAATCTTTAAAAAAAGAAAAAAAACAAAAAGAAAAAATGATATTAATTCATAAATTAATTTATTTAAACAAAAAAACAAAAATAATAAATAAATATGAAATAATTTTTTAATTTTTTTAATTATAAAATGGGGTTAAAATTAAAAATAAAATAAAAATGCGAAAATATAAAAAATTTTATGTATATAAATACATAATAATAACATTTTTTTATAAAAAAAATAAACAAATAATTAACAAAAAAAAATAAGCATTAACCATTAAAACATGAAATACACCGAAAACTTTTAAGAAATCTACGAAAATTCTACAAAATACTAATAACGATACAATTAATTATCATAAAATTTTTAATAGATTTTCAACTAAAAAGTCGAATATTTTGCTCGAGCACCCGGTCGTGTAAACTTGATAGGAGAACACATAGACTATATGAATTATCCTGTATTTCCGTTTGCTTTAGAAAATGACTGTTTGATAGCTTTTTCTCATTCAAATGATGATAAACTACATATATATCATACTAATCTTGAAATATATGAAAGTGCCCATTTACCATGTCATCCTTCTAAAAAAGCTGAAGTTTCTTTCAATTAAAAATAAGCTTGGATAAAATATATTTATGCCGGCTTTTTCTCTGGCACAGAAAATGTGGTGGAATAATTTTAAGGAGTTAATATGTTAGTCTGTTCAAATGTTCCTATCGCAGCTGGATTAAGCTCTTCTTCATGTTTTGTTGTTTGTGGAGCTATTTTAGGTCATTTTATTTTAAAATCTAATTTAGATTATAATAATTTATTATAAAGAATTATTTAATATGAAAGAGATCTAGGAACTGCTTGTGGAGGTATGGATTAAACTATATCTTTATTAGGGGTCAGAGGAAAGGTATTATTTTATCTAATTCTATAAAAAAAATAAAAAAAAATCATAAAAGGCTATGTTTATTGAGTTTAATGAATATGCCAAAAATATAGAATGCTAACTTCCTGAAGGAGTTACTTTTGTTATTGCAAACAGTTTAAAAGAATCTCCTAAATTATAAAGTTTAGGAAGAAGGTTATTTTTTTTTATATTTTAAATTAAAACAAAGATTAATATAAATAAATATAGATACAATAAACGTGTATGTGAATGTAGAATGGCAATAAAAATATTAGGTGATAAAATGGGTATTTAAAGTGAAAGTAAATTTACTAATTTACGATAATTAGTAAGAAACAATGAGACTTTAAAATAAATGTAAGAAAAAGTAAAGGACTTAATTGAAAAGAAAGTTTATTCAAAAGAAGATATTGAAAAATTAATTGGAGAAAAATTAGACTAATTCCTTAATGATATTTAAAAACATGAAATTGTTATAGAACAAAATACAGAATATTTCCCATACGAAAGAGCATTACATGTATATGCTGAAGCCGAAAGAGTTTATAAATTTAAATAAATTTGTGAAGATTAATAAATTTCTAATGAAGAAAAAATTAATTTATTATGTATTTTTTTTTATAATAGAATTAATTTTATCTATAAAAAAAATATTCAAAAGCTAATTTAATGAATGAAAGTTAATATTCATGTGATTAATTATATGATTGCTCTTCTGATGAGTTAAATTAATTAATTTCTATTTGTAGAAAAAATGGAGCTCTGGGATCTAGACTTACTGGTGCTGGATGGGGTGGTTGTACTGTTTCTATGGTTAGAAAAGAACATGTAGATGAGTTTATTTAAAAAGTAAGAGAATAGTATTACTAAAAAAATGGTTTAAAAGCTGATGAAAATGTCATATTTTGTACTTCTCCTTGTAATGGAGCATTAATTTATAAGAATAATTTATTTTGATTTATCTTATAAATTTAATTTTTAAAAATTAATTTATGAATTAACTTTTTTTTATAAATATTTCACATAAATAATTAAATAAACTTTAATATTTTTATTTTAGTTATAAAAATATTTATTTTATCCCTCTCTATTATATTTTTTTCGTGTATTCTCTTTTGGATTTATAAATAAGTTATTATTTATTAAATATACCACCTAATATATTTATCATAAATATTTAATTTAATTTCGAATAATACTTTCATTACTTATTGCAGGTCTATTAGGATAAATAATCTAATCAGAATTTAAAGTAGATTATTACTTTTTTTGTTAATATATATATTCGAATTTTAATTATATTATTTCTATAAAGACTTCTTCATTAATAATTTCAAAATAATAACGCCAAAACTCCAAATATCTATTTTTTCACAAATTCAATTTTCCTATTTGAAAGCTCCAGTAAATACTAATAAGTGCCTAATCCTTAAATTGCAGGTTTTATTTTAGTTTTTGTTTACTTTGGAAGATTTTAAACAGATCAAAATTTGTAATTATCAATTCGACTTTATGAAATAATATTTTAAAGGTTCTAAATCATAATGAATTATCATATTTCTATTTTATTAATTGCTAATTATTTTATATAGTTTCACATCTTTTTTTGTTTTAATAAATAAAAGTTGAAAAAAAATCAATCTTTTTCATTTATAAAAATTAAAAATAGTATTTTTTTTAATCTAAAATTTTTATATTCCATACTTTATCATATATTAATGTATTATATTTTTTCAAAAGTATATTATAATCATTTTACTAATTATTATAAGATATGTTAATATTTTATTATAATAATTCTTTTCATTAAATTTATATATTTCTTTTATATTTTAATTAATATTTTCAGTAGTTTGATAAAAACTAAACTTATAATTGGTATTTATTTACTATTCTTTTTTTATTTAAAAAAAATTCTAATATATTTTATAATAATAAAATAAAAATATTTATTACAAAAAACAAATATATTAATGGATATTTTAATTGAATTTAATTGTAAAATAAAAAAAAATACATATAATTAGTTTTATATTTATTATAAACTATTAATTTATTTTACTAATACATAATAATTTTATTTTATAATTGATTTAAATAATAAATGTTAAATTTATTTATATGTATTTATTTTAAGCAAATTTTATATTTTTTGTCAAGAAAATAAAATGTTTTATTTTGAATTATCTTTAAGTAATAAAATATTTTAAAATGGTATAAAATAAAACAATTTGCTAATTAAATATTTTAAATTGGAATTTATATCAATTAAACCAATAAATCAACAAAAATATAATTTTATTAAATAAAATTTAATTATAAAATAAATATTATAATAATTAAAAATTCCAGTTATATAAATTTAATATTTTTAATTGTTTATATTAAAAAAGGATAATATATTAATTTTTTTTTTAAAAAAAAATTATATAAAATAATAAAAAAAATCTTTAGTTAATTGACAATATCCAATAAAAATATAGATTATATTAAATTTTGAGATTATTAAAATAAATATAGTTTTTAAATTTCTTGTTTTAACTTTAAAATTAAAGAAGTCAGTTATAAAAAATATAAATATTTTATTAAAAAAATTGTTATTTTTTTAAAAAAAAAATGAGTCAAAAATAATCAATTTCTCGCTCTCGTTCTCGTTCAAAAACTCCTATTAAAAATGAAGCAAAAACTTCAGTTTAAAAATCTGTTGAAAAAGAATCAGCTTAAAAATCACCTGCTAAAATTGTAGAAAGCAAAGCCAAGTCAGTAACACCCGAAGGAAAACAGCCAGTAAATACAGAAAAACTCATTAAAAAAAAAGCTGCAAAACCTAAAAAAGCTCCTGTCAAAAAGAAAGGAGGAAGAAGAAAATAAAAATGAAAAATATAATATTTTTACATTAATAAAAATATATCCAATATTTATTTTATTTATCAAAAAAGAAATTATTATTATTAAATTTAAATTGAACTAAAAAAACAAAAATTTAAATTTAATAATATAAAATTTATTGATGATTTTTAATACAAAATTATTTCAAATAAAAGTAGTTTATTAATACATTTTAAATAATTTTGTAATAAAATTACTGATTAAAAAAAAAAAATTAAGAAAAATAAATATAATATATAAAATAGAGTTCTTATATTAAAAATAAAATACAAATCTAAATTTAAAATAAAAATAAAAACAAAAACACAAAACAAAAACAAATTAAAAAAAATAAAAGCATATAAAATGGGTTGTGTTACTTAAAAACAATCAAGGGTAAAATTAAAAAAAATAAGAAACATATGTTCTCTTTTTACATTTTAATAATTTATTTATAATAAATATAAAAATAAAAATATAAAAGATAAAAAAATATCTTAAATTAAAATACATTTTTATAAAGGTATTATCACCAAAATTAAGAGACAAAGTATTAAGAATTTTCAGAAAAATAGATGTAGATGGTTCAAAATCAATAGATAAAGAAGAAACAGCAAAATATTGGTTTTTTATAATAAAAAAAAAATAGTTTAAATTTAAAAATAAAAGGAAATCCAATTTCGCTAAATTAAATACAAATGCATTATTTAAAACAGTTGATTTTGACGGAAGTGGTTCAATCACAGAAGACGAATGGTTAGCCTTTTGGTAAATAGTAAAAAGAAGCGGTCATTCAGAAAAAGAAATAAATGACGAGGTAAATATAAATCATTTATTTATTTTACAAAAAAATTAAAGTTAGATAATTTATTAGAAGGAAAAGCATGGGTTAAGTTTAGAAACGTTGATGAATATATAATGAGAGATTAAAAAGAAAAATAAGGTTAAAATATACATAAAATTGTTGATGATGAAAGGAAAAAACTTGATCATTCTATTGAATGTTTATTATTATTTTTTTAATAATTTTTTTATTTTTAATTAGAGCGGGAAAGATAACTAGAATTACAAACCTTAAAACAATGAAAAAACAATAAGAAAAAAAATCATAAAAATTTGGATAATTATTTTTTGGAAATAACCAAGTATATCAGTAATATAATATTTTAAAATATAATAAAAAACTATAAATAGAGTAATTTAAATACATATATTATATATTATATAAAGTAAAAACATTCAATTTTTATTTTTTAAGGTATTTTTTTAATTTACTTAAAATAATATTTATATTTTATTAAAAAAGATTATTAAAATTTTATTACTGTTTTTTTTTACATAATTTACCGTTTGTTTTTTAAAAAATAATAATCATTTAAATAAAAACTAGTAAAAATTATAAAATAAAACAATTACTGAATTTATACTTAAAATAAAAATAAAATAAATAAAAATTTTTGTTTTAATTATAATAATAATTATTTTTATATATATTATTGTTAATATTATTTTAATAATTTTATAATTATATTAATAATTTTAACTAACTTTCACTTCAATACTTTTCATAATAATTATTAACATATTTTAATTATTAATAATCTTTATCATATTAATGATAATTATTTTTTACGAATTATCCTCATAATTTTATTCATCATATTAATTATCCTCACACTAATCACAATAATACTCCTCTTCATTATTATTTTCTTAATAATTTTTATAATAATACTCTTAAAACTTATTATTAAACTACTTTCCACAATTCTAATCAAACCCTCTATTTGAATAAAATTTATAAAGCATTTCTTCCCAACAGAAATTACCATTATCTTTAAAATGAAAGTTCTTCCTAAAAAATTTTCTACACCCCAAATGCTATTATTAATACTATTTTATAAACTTTCTTCATTAAAATTTAGTAACTAGTAGTTAAAAATTAATTATAATTTCTTAAATAACAATATCTTTAGATGAATAGATATTCGAATCTTAGATCTTGTAATATTAATTTTTTTTTAAATAAAAACTATAAATTTTCAGTTTTTAAATTCAATTAATCTGAAATTTCATAAATAAGTTAGTTAATCTTTATAAATTTAAAATTATTTCTACAAAAACCCTAAATTTATTTTTATTTTTTATATTTACAATAAATTTTTTTATGATTTCCTTTGAATTCATATTTATATTTAAATTTTATATTTCTCATTTGAAATTTAACAAAAATTTATATTAAAATTTTGTCTTCGAATTTTTATTTTAATTATTATATTTCTCTTTTATGTAATTCAAAAGTTTCATATAATTTTTTTTAATATTAAATTAATTTTTCTTATAATAATAAATAATAATTAAAGAATTTAATATACTTATTATATTTTTATTCGATTTTTTTTTTCTTTAAGATATTTATCTGTTTATTTTTTATTATTAGTATTTATCTTTTTATAGTATTCAATTTGCACCACATAATATAACAATTATAATTTTTTTGTAATAAATTATTATTGACTGCAATAAATTAATTGTGCTAGAATTAATTTAAGTTTTATTTTAATACCTATTAATATGCTGTATTTGAAGTTTATTTACTTTAATTTATACTTTATTTCTTTTTTTGTTATATAATTAAAGTTTATTTATATAGTTTATTAAAATATAAATAATTAATAAATTAATAAATTTATAAGTATATTAATAAAAATATTTATTAGACAATGATTTGATTTAATTATACTAGTTTTTTTTAATCACTATTTTATATAAAATCTAATTAATATTAAGCTCTATAATTCAATTTTATACTTAGTTTAAATAATTTTTTTTATATTTTATCTATGTAAATTTTAATTACCTTATAAAATATTAATAAAATTAATAATTTTATAAAATTTTAATCTTTTAATTTTTTTTAAATATCAATTATTTTTTTTATTTTTAATTAAATATTATTTAATAAAATAAAACATAATTTATATTTAAATAAAAAATACAATTTAAATATAAAAATTAGTAAAAAAAATATTAAAAATTAAATAAAAATAGGCTTATTTATTATTATTATTAGTATAAATATATAAGTATATATATATATATTTTCATTCATATTTATATTTATATTTAATTATATATTAAATTTAAATATTTATTTTTTATATATATATATTTATTTATACATATAAATATATAATTATTCATATATTTTTATATATATTTAATTTTTTAACTTATTTTTTTTTAAATATAATCAAATTAATATTATTTTATCTTATTATATTAGTTTTAATAAAAATTTTCAATTTTTTTTATTTTATTGTATTTAAAAATTTCTTACATTCAATATTTTTAAATTAATGTTTATATTTTACTTAGATATTAATTAAATATTTATTTTGTTTAATTTATTATAGGTAAAATTAACATTAATAAATTTTATTTTTATTATTTATTATAATTTTCAAAATTCACAAAGATAAAATAATATTAATTTTTATGAATAATAAATTAAAATCTGGAAATATATGTTTATATTTCCTTTATAATTTATTTAATTTTTTATTTTTACTTGAATCTTTTTTTATGATGGCTTTAGGGGTATGGCTTTGGATTGAAGTTAGAAATATTGGTGTTATCAATTTAAGTTTTATAGGAGTTGGATTATTAGAATGTTTTTTAGCCTTAATAGGATAACATATGAAAAAATCTTTGTCTAAATTAAACATTTATATTTTATTGCTTTTCATATTATTTGTAGCCTAGTTAATATTATCAATTTTAACTATTACTTCTAAATAAAAAATAATTGATTGGGCAGCAAATTAAATGGATAATAAATAGGATGCTAATAAAATTAAAGATTTGATTTCTAATAATATTTATATTGCTATATATATTGCTACAGGAGCTATTGGTATTTAATTATTTTGCATTATTTTAGCTGTTTGGTATAAGAGTTCTTTTGTTAATAATAATACTTCTTATGAATTTTTAATTTAAGATAAAAATGGGTAATTAATTTTTTAATATATTAATTTTTTATTTTTATAGAAGAGCTTATTCTTTATAAGAGCATTAATAAAGGTAAAAAATGGATATTGAATATTAAAATGATTTAAAAAGAAATCAAATGTATGATAAGTATCCCGAATTATAAGAGTATTAAAAAAAAAAAACTTAAAAAAAATGAAGAATATAATAAAAATATATATTTATTCAATAATTATTTATTGAAATAATTAAATATATATTATTAATCTATATAAAATTAAAAACTAATTATGTTTTTTTCAAAATTATATTTATTATATAAAAAAAAATATATTGTTTGTTTATAATATTAGTATTTAAATTAAAAAAATATTTTAATGAAAATAAATATTTTTTATAATAACTAAAAAAAATATATTATAAACTAATGATAATTAAAATATTTTTATAATTATAAAAAACAAAAAATTATATATAAAATTATTTTTTAAATTATATAATATGCAAATTAATAAAACTAATATATAATATAAAAAATTAATAAATAAATTATATATATAAAATAAAGTTATTTTAATAAAATTAAATTTGTTTCTAATATTTATCTATATAAATAAAATCATTATCTAAACACTGGATTATTATGAATTAATTTTTAAGTTTAAGAATTAGGATTTATACCAAAAGGTCCTAAAACTCAAGCATTTTAATTCAAGTCTTATTATAAAATAATATTATTACATTATAAAGGAAGACTTTTTAAATTATTATTTTACAAAATAAGGCAATCATTAAAAATATCATCATTACTATTTTTATAATAATGAATATTATTATTACTATTATTATTATTAATATTATTATTATTATTATTATTATTACCAATACAAAATTACGATATATTTCTCTATTAAGTTTTTTTCGGTTCAATATTTTCCTGCATCATATACCCAACTAACTAATTAGGTATTTCTTCTAAAACTTACTAAGCCAAAAGTATAGGATTTTAATTTACATTTCTAAATGGAACAAATTACACAAGATCTCTACTAGGTTTTTATCCTTTTGAATTTATTAATTAACCTTAATCTCCATCTAAAATTTGCATTTTCTTAAAATCTGCTTATCCAACTCCTACAATAATAATTGATAAAGGCAATTAAGAACAGTTTATTATAGAATTTACAGTTTCTTCCATATCATGTATTTCTCCATCAGTTAATATAAGTAGTATAGTATAAACTTAAGACCCTTTATTTTTACATTCTTTTGCTAAATTTTAAGTCTCTTATAAAATAGGTCCAAAATATGTAGGTCCACCTAATTATACGAACTATAAAGAATGCTTATATAGTTCCATTATTTAAAATAGCCCATGCGCATCAGGTTGGTAAATATCTCCTGTTAATGGGAAACAATGAGAAACATCTCGTGTTCTAAAATTTAGATAATTTGGGATTCCTCCAAATCCATAACATGGAATTCTTTTATCAAAATCATAATCTAATAAAATTTCACAGACAGATTTTATTGCTTATTAATATTAATTTAATTATTATGAATTTTAACTTTAATAATGTAAACTATTATTTTAATTAAATAAAAAATAAATTGAATAATGAAAAATTAGAAAATGTACGCATTTTTTTAATAGTTTATATATAAAAAAAAAATTAATTATTTATAAATAAACTATTAAAAAAAAGGTAAAAATAACTAATTTTAAATATATCAAAAAATGTCAAAAATAAATATATATTAAATATATCAATAAATGTCAAAAAAAAAATATATATTAAATATATATATATATATATATATATATATATATATATATATATATATATATTATACGATTATTCATATGTTATCGTACCATTAGAAGCTGTAAAATCAACAGCTAAAATCACATTTAATTATGTTTCTCCTCTTATATAATCCAAAAAATTTGGTTTTAAAGTTAGTTAGAAATAATTTAATTGAAGAATACTACTTTTTTTTTTTTATTATCTAAAAGTATGAACTCTCTTTTGTTTTAACTAATAATTTCATTCATATTAAAAATACAACAACCAATATAATTTCTATTTTAATTATTTTATTAGTCCCAACATTCACATTTTATAGGTCTAAAATGATCTCCATTATATAATTTTTGTCCACTTATATGAAATAATTTCCATTAAGGATCTTTATTATTTTATTTACTATTTCTGTTTCAAAGCAAGAGTTTTCCATTTTGTCTTCTCTTATTCTTTTAAAAATTAAAAAAGGGTTCTTATTTTCCTCCAAAATAACCTCTTTTATTTTTCAGTTTTTAACCTTACCATTACATTTGTAATTCATCTCTTGATTCTTCTATTGCTTCTGACATTATAATTAAATTTCCTGTTTTTTTTTTAGTTTTTTTATGCATTATATCTAAAATTAATATGTTATTTTTAGCTCCTACTATTGCTCCTAATGTTGCTTAACATTCTCCTATTTAATCGAATTTCCCGTTTCCATCATCATCTTTTATTTCGAATTAACATTCTTATTTTACTTCAAATATATAATCTACTATAAATGTTTTTTTAAAATTCGGGTTAAGATTATCTTTTATGGTTTCTGTTTAACCAATTATTTCCCAATTGTTTGATTTAAAACTTTTCATACTAAATACTATGTATGGATCTGATTTAGAAAAATAATCATTGTTTTTTAATTATCGACATGATAATATTATTTCAATTTTCTTTATGTTTTATTCATTAATATTCATTTTATTTTATTTTTTTCAAGCAGGGTATGTATAATTTTTTTTATTTTATTTTTTTTTAAAAAAAAGATAAAATATTTTTGGTATTATTACAAAAAAATAGCAAAATTATGGATAAAATATATATTTATTTGTTTAAATTCAAATAATTTTTATATAATTAAAAATATAAATATTAAATAAAATTAATAAAAATAAAAGTAATTTAATTAATATTTATAATACAAATTAAGAAAAAAAAAAAAAAATATTAAATTTTCTACATCAATAAATATGTTTTTTATTTTATAATAAAAAAAATATATTTGTAATTTTTATTTTTTTTGTTCAAGAATATTTTTTTAGATTTAGAAAATTTATTTTTCGATATAAAAACAATAAAAACATATATTTATATTTCAAGTAAAAAATTAAGAAAGTAAAATATTATTTTAATCATATTATTTTTATTTATTTAATTAATTAAAAAATAAAATACATTATATTTTTACAATTATTTAATCTAAATATCATAAATAAACATTATTATTAATTTAAGTTTAAAATTTCATAATTACGCATTATTATCATTATTATCAATTTAAGTATTATAATTTTATTCAAAATAATTTTTTTAAATTTATTTATATTTTCTTTTTCTTTTTCTTTTAAAATTTGCACCCATTATATTACTTTAATCTAAGGGATTTAATGTCTATTATTGGATTCTAATAATTTAAACATTTTAAATTTATTATAAATTATTAGAATCATTAGTTTTATTACTTATGTTTCTTAAATTCATTTATTTACTACTACTTCTACTTTGTTGTTAAGAAAAATTATAAGTTTCTTAGTTATCTTTATAAATAAGCTTTTATTTTATCATTTTATAAACTTAAATCAACGAATATAGCATTTCCTTTAAATATAATAATAATTCTAATATAAAAATCCCAAATAAAAAAGACACAGTAATCCACCCTATTTTTATTCTTTAATGTTCTTCATATTTTTAAGTATCCAATAGCCAAAATAAAGAGAATGTACCTCCAAAAAATAATAATTCATTTAAAATATTTCTTATGTTATCTATTTTTTACTCTAAGGGCTTCGTTTTTATTATACATATTAACAATATTAGATGTCCTAAACACATAAAGATAATTTATAATAAAGGAAAATCATGAAATAGTATTATTACTATACAAAAATAGAATTTTCTTATATAAAGTATGATATTAAAATATTTAAAATTAAGTTCTTTATGTAAATAAGAAAATATATGAGGATGTTTATTAAAATAGATATAATAAAAGAAAAAAAAAGGCAAAATACAAAGTAAAAAGGCAAGTATAGTAAAAAAATAATTAACAATTTCTTCAAAAAAATAATTATATTCTAAATTTTAGAATTAAACAAAAACTCCGAAACATATATCTTAATAAATAGTCCATAATAAGTCAAAATAAATAGAAATATTTAAAAAATTCTTTCTAAAATTTTAAATATAAGTTTAGAATTTTAATTTATTATATAACATTTTCTCAAGTAAAAATACTAAAAGATCAATAAAAATTAAAGTAAATATCAAACTAAAATTTTCTCCTAAACACATATATATATATATTATTAAAAAAAAAAAAAAAGCAAAAAACCTGAACTTGATAATAAAAAAGCATCGACATCTCTTTCTTTAAATTTTTTTTTAGGCTCATATTAAATTTTATTATAATTTTTCATAAAACTAAAAAAATTTATAAACGGAATTTCAAAAGCATCCGTAATATCATATAAAAGATCTAAATTAAAAGGATTACTAAAAAATAATAAAAAATAATAAAAAATAATAAAAAAAATAATAATAATAAATAAAAAAATACTCAACATTAATAAATACCATCATAAAAATTAATTAAGAAATATCCACAAAAGAAGCTAAAATACCATAATTTCCTGTCAAACTTAGAGGCAAAATAGAGCTTATTCCAAAAACAGAAATTCCCTAACTTATGCTTGCAATATTTTCCTTAGTTTAATATCCTATTCCAGACTAAAAGTTGAATTATCCTTAAATAACTTACGGTGTTTTTTAAATATTATACACTTCTGAGTTTAAAAAGGAAATTTCTATAATTAAAAACTTAGGAGGATTTCTTATAAAAGAAAAATTTATTTCTAATATATTTTCAGATGAATCTTTTACAAAAATTTCAATTGTATAATATTCAAAGTCATTTATTTAAATTTTTAATATTTTCTTTATTTCGTTTAAGTTATTTATTACTAAATTTCTCTCCTAAAATATTACCAAAACCGTATTTTTTTCAATTTATAATTCATATTCTATTTATTTCTCAATTATTTTACAAATCTAATAATTTTCGTCTTTTTAATAACCCTATGGACAATCCAAAAGGCAATTTCCATTAAATAAGTAACTTCCTTTTAAGCATATTATGCAATTTTTATAATTATTATTATCACATTTAGAACAATATTAATTAAAGCATTTCTCACAAACCATTTAGTCTTTATTTTCGTAATATTTCTCCGGACAAGAAATATTACAAGTATTATTTTATTAAAAAAAATAAGATTATTTGCAAAATATGCAATCTTAATTTGTCTATCCAAAACACTTTAAACAAAATTCATGACATTATTCGCATTTTTTTTCTTTTTAATTGAAATAATAATTATCTAAACATTATAAATAACATGTTTTTTCAAATAAAAAAAATTAATTTTCACATTTAGTACATTCGCCTGAAAAATCAGTACATTCAGAACAATTTAAAGGACATTTTTGACATGTTTAATCATATTCTTTATAATAAGATAAAGGACAAGTATATAAGCAAATGTTATTTGTCAAATCTAAATATGTATTATTTATACATTTTAAACAAGAAGTTTGAGAAGTACATTCTTCGCAATCTTTTTTTTTTATATTAAAAAAATTTTTTTTTTTTGGGAAGGGGGGGGTTATTTACATTAGGAACAAAAAACACATATTCCATCTGTATTTCTGAATTAATTTTATAAACATATATTTTCTTTTTTACAAGTATTTGAGTCTTAAACAATAGTTCCTTCAGGACATTTATCAAAACATTATTTTTCATATAAAAAATAATCTGCTATACATTATGTACATTCATTTTGGTTTAAACATTTAAAACAGAAATCTTGTTTATTTATATAATAATTAATATTATTTATTAAATTAAAAAAAATAAGATTGATATTTTTATTTTTTCTGTAATTTTTATTTTATTAATAAAAAAATGCTATTTATTTAATTTTTTTTTTTTTTTTTTGATAATTAAGTTTTTTTTAAAAAAAAATAGTAATATATATTATTATATTTTTTACTAAATTAACAAGAAACACACTTTCCATTTGAATCTTTATATTCATTTTCCATACATTATATTTATATCTATATTTATATTTAGCATTAATTTCCAGGAATAATATCAGTTCCTGGAGGACATTGATCATAACATTTTTTTTCATATAAATATTTATCATTAAAACATTTAAGACATTCATTTAATTATATACATTATAAACAATTTTATTAACATTTTTCATAATCAATTTTTATTTGCTGAATACCCAATAAATCATTACCTTCTAATAATATTTGGAATTGCTTTATTTATTTTTTAAAAATATAAATATTAATAAAAAGAGTTAAATATATATTAAAAAGATTAATTTTTTATAAATAATATATTATTATTATTATTTTAAAAAACCAATTTTTAATCTGTTTGATCTACTTCCAAAGCCAATGAATGAAATTTAGATTCTACATAATTAGATAAACAATAAGTACTATCATTTTAAAAAAGAGAATAATTTTCAGTATGTACATATTCTTTTATTATTTTAGAATTAACATATAATTTGTATTTACTATATACGCTCCAACGTTAAAACAATACTAAATTAATATTAATATTTAATTTATAATAAGGATCTTTTATTTCCAAATTTAATTTTAATATTTGATCACTTTTTAATATAAGTAAATTAGGTTGAATATTTTTAATACATTATATTATACATTCTTTATTTTATAAAAATCCATCAGAAGTTTAAATTATAATTTTATTTATATCAGATAGTCTTTTTGCTGTATATTCATCACAACTATTTTTAAAACTTTCAATTTAAAATATAGTAATCTATGTATTAATCTCATTCAGTAATTCTTTTTATTAATGAATAAAGAAAATAAAAAGAAATTTTGGAATTACAATAAACGAATATAAGAAATTTAATAATAGATTAAAACATTTTTGAATTAATTAAGTATATACAATATTTTTAATTATATTTTTTTTTATTTTTAGAAAAAATATTAAATATAAAATTATTAAAAAAATTATAAAATTTAATATAATATAATATTTTTAATTTATTTATACAATGAATTATTATCAGAAAATATATTAAAATATCTATTTGTTCTTATAGAATAATTATATATATTTAATTAGAAAATTGATTATATTTCAATTTTATTATTGACAAAAAAATTTAAAAAATATTTTATTTTTTTATTTTAATTGAGGATAAAACTGCTTTAATTATTAAATTATTATAAATTCTTTTATAAAACTTTATTATTTTTTTGACTTAATTCAGCTTATTTTTATTTATATTTTTTGTTTTAAAATAAAAATATTATATTATTTACTTTTTTTTTTTTTTTTATAAATTAAATATTTTTAAATAATTTTAATTTTGTTTTTTTAAATTGATAAATTTATTAATTTTTCTATATATTATAATTTATATTTTCATTATTATTTAAAACTTTATTTTAATATTATTAATCTTTTTTATTTTTTCTATTTCAACTATTATTATATTAGAAAATAATCACATATTCATTTTTTTTAAGATATTATTTATTTATAAAATTTATTTTTTGTTTACAAAATCTAATTATATTTTATAATATTTTTTACTTTAGATTAATTATTTCAAGTAATTTTTTTAAAAAAATATTATGTTAAATTAAATAATCGAGAAATTTTTATTTAAATATAATTATTATGTGCTTATATAAATAAAATAATGAATATTTAAATTAATTTATTCTAAAAAATTAATAATAATCTATATTTTTGTTTTTTAAATAAAATAGACTAAATTTAAATATTGTATTAAATTATACATATAGAAAAGATAATAATTTTATTATTCTTTTCTTAAAAAATGCTAATAATAAATTAAATTTAAATATATAATGCAATTTATATAAATGTAAGTAATATTAATATGCTTATCATTTTTAATTTAGATTTAATTAAAATATTATTATTATATATAAGTTATTATTTTTATATTATCATTCTATATATAAAAATAATGAATATTATATATTAATACTATTTTATAATATTTATAAAAATTTATTTTATTCTATACCTGTCTTCATTTTTTTACCGTCAAAAAACATAATTTATTATTTTTAATTTAAAATCAAATAATTTATCTTTTTATTTTTAAAAAAAAATATAATAAAAATAAATATAATATATTTTTGCTCTTTTAATTTATTAGGAGAATAATATATATATATGATCAACTTACATTTTTATTTTGATTAACTGTTTTAATAACTAAAAAGTTAGTTTTTGCAATATATATTGTACTATTATTATTAAATTCGAATTTTTACCCAGTTTTTATTATATTATTTTTTAATAATGCACTTATATATTCATAAAACGAATATTTACTAATTTTTGGTGTATTTATTATAAACATATCATATATTTTAATATTTAAATAAAAATAGTTATTCTTAAATAATTTTTAAAATTTAAAAGAAAATATCTAAAAAAAATATAAAATTAGAATGTTAAAAACTATTTAAGAAAATAAAAAAAATATAGTTTAATGAAAATAGAAGAATTATTATTGTTTTATAAATAAATTTCAATAATTATTTATGAATCTAATCTAATCTTAATAAAAATTACATATTTAAATAAAAAAATATTACTATTTATAAAATTTTCATTAATATGAAAATACTATATCTCAAATAATTTATTTATAAATTTTATTGTAATAATATAGTTTAAAAAATTCGTATTTTTTTCAAAAATTAAATTATTTGTTTTAATTTAAGTTATTTTATTTTAAGATGTCTTATTATTTAAAAAATATAAACAAAAGAAGATAATAAATAATCAAATCTTAAAAAAAAAAATTAATCAAAAACTTTATGAATTAATTATTATAAAAATATATATAAAGTATATAAAAATTTGAATTAAAAATAAAAAATGTTTTAAATATAAATTTAATAAATATATATATTATATTGTAATATCTAAATTAATTTTTATAATAATAAATAAATTTTATAAATTTTTTATTAAAATTTTTCTTTTTTGATTAAATTAATAATTAATATATTAATTATAAAACAATATATATTTTAGAATAATATTTAATAAATATATTATATAAATGCATTGAGAAAAGTTTAAAAGTATAACATCATATTACATTTAATTATATTAAATTTTATTTTAATTTTATTTTTTATTATTTTAATTAAAAGTATAAGAAATATATAATAATTTAATATTATAATGAAAGAATATATATAATAAATGAGAAATAATCTATTAAATACATATAAAAAAAAAAATATATTTAGAAAAATTTGTATTAATATTCTTTGAATATTATTATTTCATGTTTTTATATAAAGAATATAATAATTATATGATTCGCCTCTATTTAATATTTTTAAAATAGTTATTTTTTATAAATTATCTTAAAACACATATTTTTCTTAATTTTCAATAAAATCGCAATTTATTTCTAATAATATCTTCGTTAAGAAAATTATAAAAAAAGAAAAAATAATTTATTAGTATTATATAAAAATGCTTACCTACTAAAGATTATTCTTAGCTAAAGTTGATTATAAAAATACTAAAGTTGTAATTTATTAACTGAATAATACTAAAGGAAATTTACCTAATGGTATTATGGCTAATATTTTGATTTTAATTAATTAGATAGTAAGAAAAAGGCTATTACTTTATTAAAAAATATAGTTTTTAAATATATTACTCAAAGTATTTTTTGATTTTATTTATTATTTTATTAAATAAAAAAAATAATCATAGTTTCTAATATATTTGATTTAAATATTTTTTGTTATTGATATAATTAATTTTCTTTAAAAAAAAAGTAAAAAAGTTTTATATAAAAGTTTATTTTTATTTTAACAGAAATTATTTAAATAACAAATATGTATTATTAGAATTTATTTTTATATAAATTTTTAAAATATTAGATTATGAATTAAACATATATTTTATCAAGTTTAAAATTAATTATATTATTAATTTTATTTTTAGAAAAAAAAAAATATTAGACTATTAATATAAAAATGTTTAGATTATTATTCTAGAATTAGTTTTTAAATAAAATAAAGCCATTTTAACCATTTTTAACCTAATAATACTAAAAATCCTTATTTTAAACATTAAAATATAATTTTATACATCCCCAACAAATAAACAAAAGAAAAAGACTAGCAGGTTAATAAATTCCATTTGCGAAATGGAGAATAATAAAAGGCGATAAAGTAGTTGTCATAACAGGTCATGATAAGGGAAAAACAGGAACAGTAATCCGTTGTTATAGAAAATCAAATAGTGTTTTAGTAACAGGAATAAATATTAAATTATAACGTATTAAAGGAGATCCTAATGATTTTAATTCAACAGGATTCGTTCATAAAAAATTAGACCTGTTCATATTTCTAATGTGGCACATATTGATCCTGAATCAGGAAAACCTACAAGAGTAAGATTTGGGTATTTAGAAGATGGAAAAAAGGTTAGAGTAGCAGTAAAATCAGGATCTATTATTGAAAAATATATGGACCCAGGCTATAAAAAGGAAGTTAGAAATAAAAATAAAGTCGATGGTATTCTTGATACTTCTCCATAATTGGCTTTATAAATTACTTATAAAGGAGAAAATTTTGATGAAATTAAAAGAGATTTTGAAAAATATATTCAAGAAAAAGAAAGAAGAGAAAAAATGCTTGTTTTTAAAGAATGAATAATTTATTTTATTTTATTTTCTTCTAATTATATATTTTTATTTAAAAAAAATAAAAATATATATAAATAAGAAATAAGAAATATATCTTTTTTTGTTTTTAAATATAAATAATAAATTATAAATGTTTATTATATTTTTATTTAGTTTTTTATTAATAATAATATATTATTATTATTTTTTTAAGAATATAATGATAATAAGAGATATTTTTTTATTTTTAATATTTAAGAACAGTTTATTATCAATATATAAAAAGTAGGCCATTTTAATTTTAAAATAATAGAAAATAATAATATAACATTAGTAATTAAATTAATTAAAATATTTTATAAAAAATTTATAAATCATTTATACATATAAATTTTATTTAAATAATAATTAAATATAAAAGAATTATTAAATAAATAAACTTATATTTATTATTTTTCTTCCTCATTATATAAAATCTTTTAATTTATTTTTAAATTTATCTTATAAAATTTATTCAATTTATGAATCATCAACTTAACTATAATCCTTTTTATTATCATATTCAATATCTATTTAATTATATCCCATATGTTTAATAAATTTTTCTTTTCTTAATGTAGTTAAAGTCTTTTCATTATTAAAATAATGGTAAATACCATTAATTTCAATACAAACTTTATATTAGGGTAAAAAGAAATCGATTCTAAAGGTATTTAATTTATATTCTTTTACATAATAAATATTCATTTTAATCAAGATCTATTCCACTAATAATAAAAAATAAATACAAAAAAATTTAATATTTATTAATATTATATATTCTATTTACTTATTTTTGTGAACTAGTTATTTTCATGTAAATTTTCTTGATAAGTTTATTCTTTAAATTCTTAATTTTCATTAGAATCACATTCATTTGATATCTATTCTTATTAACTTTTTTCTATTTTTTGTATTAATTAATATAAATTCTTATATTATGAATAGTCAAGAGATGAAAATACAAGTTTTA